AGCAATGTTCAATGAAAAACAAAAATTCCAACCAGATTTTACTTTGAAAACTTTGGTTAGAGTTGTTATCTGCTCTTACAATACAGCAAGAGTGATTAAATACGAAGCCTAGGGTTGTTCGGAAAGTTCGCGGACCATGTCAATCTTCGTTATAATATTTTTAAGAAATTTAAATTGAGCACATTATTTTATGTACGAAATGATTATTTTGTTGATGTAAGAAGTGTCATTCCATGTGATTTAATAGAAGACATGTTATATAATTTTAAAATCAACATGTTTGGTAACCACGGAGCAAACTCAAGAACATTACAACGTCAAAAACATATAGCACCATGAGGTTCACAAAAATATTCTCCCTATACATTTCACACAGCATGGCCCAATACCAGTGCACTTACTAGAACCGTTTCTTTATCACTTGAAATTTATTTTGCTAAACATTTGTTCCAGTAGCATAATTTTGTTTGTCAATGTTATATTTTTTTTATTGCGTAACTGTGCTTTCACAAGATCAGCAACTGTGAAGCGCCAAACTCTTAACATGACCTTACTAACGTTTTAAAGATTTTAACAGATATTTGCACACAGATCGTCCTCATCTGATACAGAGTCTCTAGCATTCAAATACTGCCTGTAAAATGTACACACACATGCATGGCTCACTTTTGACATATTTCCTACTCCCTCCAGCTTTTTCAGATTTTTTTAATGAAGTTTTCAATGGTACAACATCAAATTGTATCGTTAACTGCTGCTCCGTGACGTTCTACGACGTCATTTTTTCCCCCCTTTTTTAATGAGGACTGCCTATCTTCTGAAATTGATTTCTTTCCAACTAAGCAAATATGAAGTCATAATTTGGAATATGAAACGATGTAACAGTTCTTAATTTGAACGTATAGGTTTTTTTCCTTTTTGTACCATTTTACATGTACAGAGGATATAACTACAGACATTTAGTGTATTGATTGTATATTACAAAATTTTGACCTGCTCCGCCACCCAATTTTCGTATTTTTTTTTAATTTTTAAATAAGTTAAAAATAATTACGATATTTTAATCTTTTATATACTTCATATGATGTTTCTTTTGGGAACATTTTAACCAATTTGGACATAATATGACGTTAAATAAAAAAGTTACGACAGTAGTCCACGAACCTTCCGAACAACTGTCGTGTATTGCCTTTTCAAGAATGTCTAAACTGCTTGTTTCATGAAAATAAAGTTGTCCAGAATTGACCAATGTTGAGAAAGTGCTATAGAAATAATGAATGCAGCGTAACGGTTGTTGTGTTCTTTTTTACGTTAGCTAGAATTTCTGTTATTATCCTTTAGAATAATACAGTCAATCTGATAGGTTTAAAGCAAGTCAAATGCTGACTGACGTTTTCATACTAATTGTTAGGCCATTATTTATACACTGAACTGTCAACGGATTTTTCTGTTTTTTTTTTCTCGATCATGACAAGGAGCACACGGCGGGTGTGACCGTTCGGCAGGGGATGCTCACTCTTCCATGACACCTGATCCCACCTCCATTTTGAGGTCCGTGTTTGCTCCGCTCCAAATTTGTATCGATTCATTGGACTTTCGAGATTGAATACTGTTCGTTATCTTCATATTTCCTGCAGGGAGACAATTCGTGATGTCTCCCTCACGCACAGGGTGACAACAATTGTTTCCCTTTAGATGACAATAAAATAGCACAAGTGAGCGTGCAGGGTGAAACTGTGTTGCCTCCCTTTAGATGAAAATAAAATATCGTAAACGAGATAACTCATGCATATAATTGGCATAACGGTAATTATAAATGCGGGATCGGTAAACAATAAATTCTAAAAGTGACGTCAAAGTTATCTGTTGAGAGATTTTGAAAGTATTGAATCAAATCAGTGCGTAGGAGAACAAATGAGGTTTGACTGAAAATATATACTCTATTGTATTAAATTTAGATTCTTTAACTATTATGGACTATTTAGAAGAGAGACAACACAAAGAGTTTTCACCCTAGGGTGCAAGCACCCTCGTTTGTCAACCCTACTCAGACCTGATAATTTGTAATGTCTCCCTTCTAAACAGTTAATAATTGTATAATGTTAAAACAATCAAAGTCGAGTTGCATAGATCTAGTGAATAATTTGATGAAAGTTAATTTACAATTATAGAAAACTCAATTGTAAACACTTTTCTAAACGGCAAAGGGGTATGATACTCAAAAATAGGAATTTACATGTATTAGTGACTCTATATGTAAATTGAAAAATTATACTTTTCTTGAATCTACTTGAAACCTAATATGTGGGAAATTTTGATGTGTTATTAACAATGGATGCCCTACTAACTCAATTCATGAGATTTGAGCTATTTATTTGAGTTTGTAACCTATTGATAGCTCACATCTACAATATTCTTGTCACTACAGCTCCTATGTTTTTTGGAACTTATCTGTTATAAAAATCTGTTCATAAAGGATTTCTTTTGTTCGCCTGTCATTTTTTTATTACTGTGTGACTATTTTATTACTATGTTAAAATTATATTTTTTAACTTGTTTGTTTCTAACCCTATCCCTTTCCTAAACATCGTTAAAAGGTGTCAATGGATGAAATGTGAAGACAAAGAATGATCATTCTCAAAAGGTCATCGAAACAATACAAATTATGTACAGAGCCAAAACAGACCTCTGCAAACAGAGGTGTGATCAGATGCCATGGAGGAGAAGACATCCCTTGTAGACTCGTCACAACCGCCGTGTGCTCCTTGTCATAAGATTGGATAAACAAAAAAAATCAGTGTCAAAATAATGGCCTGGCAATTTTTTTTTTTGAAATACGTCAATCAACATTCGACTTAACAACATATTTTAATTGAAAACAAGGTTATTGTATGGACCATAAAATTTCCGAACTGAAGACTTTAAAGGAGATTGCTTATATCTTCGTATCATCAACTTATTTATCAATAACCTCAATAATTATTCCGGAAAAAAATGCCTTAAGAAAAGGAAGAGATGGTTATATGTATAAAAAAAAAAAAAAAAAAAAAAAAAAAAAAACACTTTCTACGTATGATTGTAATTTTTTATTGCTTTCGCCTCGTTTGATTGCCCACGAATTATAATTAATCAGTGAAAATTTGTTTCATCGAAATTACTATTATGTACCTCGCGCTTTTATGAAGGTCTTATAAAGGTCTTCTTATAATGAAGTATCGAGAACACCGAATAAAAATCTTGAGAAACAAAGCTAACATTTGACAAATCAAAAACATACCAGGTTATGCACATTTAATTATGGTCAATGAGGAGTCTTCAAACTGAACAAATTTATATAAACATATTGTATTTTACACCTTATCATCTCATAATCACCTGAAAAAAACTTCATTAATAAAAAAAATACATACAATAGCTTAACCACAGGTAAAAATGTTTTCGATAACACATTAAAAGAATATTTTTTTTAAAAAATGTATTTTATTTTAAAGAAAAACTTTATTTTATAAATGCAATACAATTTCCTTCATTTTATTGGACAACTACCGGAGAAATACACTACGGTCCTCGAAACCTATATGCAGCCGTCTATACAAAGGCACAGTATTTGACAATCATGCACCAAAACACCGCTTGCTGAAAAGAAAGTTTGTTTAATTTGTTCCTTGGGGAGTAAAGATACTAAGATCCTTGAAAAATCTTGACCTGAGAAATTTAAGAAAAAATAGGCATCAGTGATAAATAAGAAAACTATATCCAGTAAGTAATAACAACTAATTCATTTTTCAGTCCAATTAATTAGTTTATGCAAGATTGTGGCCTTGATGAAAATAAATTGAATACGGTTAGCCTTATAACCTGTGACCTTTTGATTTATTGTTCTTAAATTCACGTTCCCTCAAATAGTAATGTTTATCGTCCTAATTTGTAAAAAAAAAAAAGTTTTCATTTTACCTGTCCTCTGTATTTTATGACAACTCCCGAAAATATTCGTTGTTGAAAAAATAAATTAAAGAAGATTTATTATGAGAATAAGTCAAGTTATGAGACAGAAATATAGTCTTTGAGGAATGCTATGGGTAATGCTTTAAATATAATATTAGGCTGTTAACATATATTCAACAAAAAAGCAACACTGCTTAGATATGAAAATAAATGAAAATTTACGGTATTTTTCAATTCACAGTTGAAAATTTAAAAAAGTATACATATATAAATAATCTATTCTGAATTGGGAAATGAAAAATCGTCTCAGAGATTTCATTAGTGTATATGCGCAAAATAAAAAAAAAATTAAAAAAATTACAAAAGCATCTAAATTGGTAAAAACCTACGTTCCAGAGTCCTTGACACACGTTATGTTTGCATTAAATCGAAATTTAATCATCTAATACATGTATGACATTTGTATGTATGATTTTAAAAAATGGAAACACCTAATCATGTTATGAGTTCCTAGAAATCTTTATTGCAAACCAATCTTTTTCCCACTACTGTCCAAAATTCATATATGTGGCATACATTGATAGCACACAAATTGCCTTATTTGATATCTAATATGTCAGGCTGTTCTACGAAATTTTAAAACTTTCGAAATTCAAAATCAGAAAGTGTATTAATATATAAGGAAAAAAAAACATCGAACTGTCTATCAATGTGCAAATTGTTTTTCCCATTGTTCTTTTTTATGTTTGTATATCACTTTTCACTTTCATTTCTGATGTAACTAAAATTTGTTCTTCTTTTGATCCGCCAATGACGATTTTCAACATAGCATTTCGTACATTTCATAAAAGGGCAGAATAATTCCATTTTGAGTGAAAATATACCGAATGACATTTCTGTAGCTTCGTGGGCCCAGTGTAACTGGTTTGTGTGAACACACAGATACTAAATTTCATTAATCATGTCCGTCTTGTCTCCATGTTTAATTATGATAATTCTTCTATCGCCCCTTTCCCAATTTTTTCTTTCTCCACCTCAATTTTTAACTTGTATAGCTGAATACCTCAGTGGCAGATGGTGGTAATACATTTGTACGATATGGACCGTTTATATTGTGTTTGGCTAGTCCTTGTGGTTTATTTTCATTATGGTAAGATTTAGTATAACAAACTTATTTCCTTTCATTAACATAACATTATTTTATCATTACCATATCCTGCGGTTGAATGTGCAGAAGCATGCAGACGCAGCTAACCTTCTGTTCGAGATCATTTGGTATTTTAATATGAGGAAAAACTGTATTTTTTTCTTATTTTCATGGAAAATATTTTTAATGACGTTATTTTGATAAAAATGTGAAATATTTCAAATTTCTTTTAAGAAAAAGGTTAAATCTTTTAAGCGGTACTTTAAATTAGATGATAAATTATAGAGTGCAAAATTTTTTGCTATGCTTTTTTATTTTTGATTTTTTTTTATGTGCCGACACAAATTCTTTCTTAGATATTTAAATATCTTATAAAGTTTGAAATACAATAAAGTTCTGGTCGACAGATTACAATCTATTTGTTAACATTTCTTCCTTTTAGAACAAATTGAAGCTGTCCATTGGAAAGACTTGAATTTTTACTGTTCCAGAACATACAGCAATGCTCTATTATTTTATTTTGTCCAGTGCTATTTTTGATTTGAAAAAAAAAATCTTCATTCATGTTTTAGCGCGTCTGATAAGTATTCAAAAATATTCTTCATTCTATGGAGCGATCTATCACATGATGTATATATAATATATATTACCTGGTAAAAATATTTTGATAATTTTATTTTTTAAAAATGACTGGTATTAATGAAAATTTGTATTTCCCTTTTGAAATTTGGAAAAAATTTCTTGGCGTTTGAATAATAAGATTGATTCTAATGACTGATACATTTAGGTGAATGCAAAACAGTTTAAAACTTTACATGCATACACAACAGCTTTAAACCATAGTCACCAGGTTTATTCGTGGAATACCAATGTCAATATTACATTATTATGTACTTGGTACACGCGCACGTTTGATATATTTGATATAAAATAAAACTAAAAATGGGTCAATGAGCATCATTTTGAAACTCCTTTGACAATTGAAGCTCATTATTCCACGTATTTGTTCAGTGAAGCTATAAAATGTTTGCTAAAATTTGTTCGTTGTACGAACTATTAATTTTAATTGTCAAAATACAGAAAAAGTCTCTGAAATATCTAAACACATGCATTTCAACTATTTATCATTTTGCTATATTCTTATTTCTCTCACATTTATTTTGCATGTCAGACTATAGCAAATGTCGTTTCTTGAAGTCACTTCTACAAATCAAATCCACAAAAAACACCGTAGAAAAGTTGAAAATATACACATTGTAAAAGTTTATGTGTATTACATGCGAAATTATATTTGGTTTTTGATTTTTTGCTCACATTTTCTTAATAAATAAAGTCAATGTCTCTAATCATAAAGTAATTTCATCATTCAGTTTTATAAAAAAAAAAAAAAAAAAGAAGGAATTAGCACATTTGACAACGTGACATGAAAGTGTCTCCATATCTATGGGAAATTCTTTATGACCTATTTACATTGCAACTGTGCATTAACATCTGATATATCAAAGTTATGTCATACTAAACTAGCCTACTGAACTATTTTAATGTACAAATAATGAGGGTCACGTGACAGGTGTTTAAATACCCCAAGATAATGTTGTTTTACTTAATTGATATGACACTTTACAAATTATTTTAAGTCATATACGCACAGAGGTTATTTTAACTAAAAACTGACGACATGAATACACTGCAAATAAAACTACCTAGATTAAGTGTTAATGTATCAATTTTTTTAAAATTTTTAACGAAAATATGAAGGATGATTATAAAGGGTGAAATGACCATGATACCCACTTAATATTTGTTAATTGCTAAATGATCCACAAATACTGATTCTCATTGATACTTCTTACATATAATTGTGTACATGTATTATTTATTTAAATGATGAAGTTATGGAGATAACATTATTAGCTATGAATAAAACAAAATACTTATTGTATATTTGATTTTTCCAAAAAAAGACATCTTTATAAATGATGGTTAATTAGCTGTTCGTGTGTGTCAAATCTATCTCCCTGTTTCATAATAAAATGTAAGTAATCATTAACTAAGTCTATTAAGTCCTGACATGCTTAATTAGTATTTATATGTTAAACATTACTTCACTTCTTGACACAAGTCTCTTAAGCTTCTTCAAATTTTTGGCATTCATTATCTTGCCACTTTCTTCTATTTTTATTTGAGCACAAGTGTATAAACTTTTGATAACGCTTTGTATATTGTGTAAAAGCTCATATTTTTGTGATGTCGATTTTTGTAGTTTTATGGAAAAATATTGGAACATAGGGATTATTTTATTTCGTGTTTGTAGAAAGTTTGAGTTGAAATACATTTGAAACTTTACGTTTCGTTCAGGTCATAAATTCGTGGATCTCTTTATACCACGGAAACAACGAAAATTAAACCCCTTAAGCATTTGAGTCCTTTTACATTACAAGAATTCCATGTAAATATATCTTAATTACGTTCAATAAAAACAAAATGTTTAACAAGAGTAACATTTTTATGACAATACCAAATCTTGCGGAACATAAAAAGATACCTTTTTTTTTTTACTTTAGCTTTGTCACAGTGTAAGGAAGAGAAGACAATATCTGTGGGTATAGAGAGGGTCACGGTTCGATTTCCTCCAGCTAACCAAACCACCTACGAAAAGTAAGTAAAAAAAAAAAATCAAAATCCACACTTACTGAAATACTGTTTTTACTTAAAACATCTGACGATAGAGAGATAGGCTGAATAAACTGTTTTCTTGTATTGTTGAGAAAGAATATTTCATTATATCAATTACCCTAAAATTTGAGAAAAAGTGTGATGACATATGCGTATACTTTCAAAACTTACCTAACATTTTATCTTTTTCAAAGGTTCTGCTTTTTTTCGTTATTAATCCTTAAGAAAGCTTAGTACGCTTTACAATTGTTCATTTTTATGTAGATTTTTATTTTGCGAATGGAGATTTGTTGCCGAAGAACCAGATATGCGAATAGTTTATCAAATTTCCAACGTTAGTGTTCCCTGTGAAGATGTATTGGAAGTTTATGCTGGTGGTAAGCAAAAACTTATTTTAGTTCTTTAATGTTTTTTCTAAGAATGATTGTAAATCATCAAGATAAACCCAGAAATTGTCGATTATTTTACATGAAAAAAATGATTTCATGCATTTTTATTGATATTATTAAAAATGATAGTAAAAAAGGGTGATGAATTTTAAAACATAGAATTTTCTTATGCTAAACCGTGCCATACAAAGATTTTTTTTACCAATGAAAAAGAAAAAAAGTAGTGAACAGTGATCTATCTAAAAAAAAAAAACTACAAACAATACAAACCTCTAGCAAGGCACAAAATACGGACCTCAGGAAATTTTTATAGGTGGAATCAGGTGCCTAGGAGGAATAAGCATCCCCTGTCGATCGGTCACACCTGCCGTGAGCCCTTTGTATTGATCAGTTAAACGGAAGATTCCCCAGTCAAATTCAGTACAAAAAAAAAAACAACTGACAATTGGTTTGAATTATGTCAGTTAAAAACGACGACCCAGTGATAAGTTTTATTTGCAAATAAGGTCATTATAAATACCATAAAATTTATGAAATGCTAACTTCAAACAAGATTGTTGAAATCCTTGTAACATCAATTTATCGTTTTGTAACCTGCTTCGGTTTAAAAATTGGTCGTACTGAAAGCAGGCTCTTATTTCGTTCTTTGGCTGAGGCGTTTCATACCAATTGTTAGATCTTTGTCTTTTTAATTTCTCTAAGGACTTGAAGATCACTTTTTGACCCGAATGTATATTTTTTATGCCCCCGTAATCGAGGATTCGGGGGCATATAGTTTTTGTCATGTCCATCCGTCTGTCTGTCTGTTTGTCCGCAAAAACTTTAACCTTGCCCATAACTTTTAATTGGTTGGAGCTATTGTTTTCATATTTCACATGTGTATTCCTTGTGACAAAACCTTTCTTTGGGTACCATCATATTTAACCTTTTGACCTTGACCTTGGAGTTTGACCCACTTTTGCAAAATTTTATGAGACTTTAATCTTGGCCATAACTTTTGAACAGTTGGTGCTTGGGCTTTCAAACTTCACATGTGTAATCCTTGTGAAAAGATCTTTCTTTGGATACCAACACCTCTGACCCATTGACCTTGAGATTGGAGTTTGACCTACTTTTGAAAAAAAAAAAACTTTAACCTTGGCAGTAACTTTTTACCAGTTGGTGCTATGGTTTTCATACTTCACACGTGTTTCCTTGTGACAAGACCTTTCTTAACATCATATTTGACCTTTTGACCTTGGAGTTTGACCCACTTTGCAAAATTTTATGAGACTTTAACCTTAGACATAACTTTTGAACAATTAGTGCTAGGGCTTTCAATCTTTACATGTGTAATCCTTGTGAAAAGATCTTTCTTTGGATACCAACACCTTTGACCCTTTAATAACCTTGACCTTGGAGTTTGACCTACTTTTGAAAAAACTGTAACCTTGGCAATAACTTTTGAACAGTTAGAGCTAGGGCTTTCATACTTCACATGTGTATGCCTTTTGAAAAGACCTTCCCTTGGATACCAACAACTTTGACCTTTTGACCTTGACCTTAGAGTTTGACTACTTCAATTTTGGAAAACTTTAAACTTGGCCATAACTTTTATCAGTTAGTGATAGGGTTTTCGTACTTCACAGTGTATTCCTTGTGACAAGACCTTCCTTGGATACCAACATCTTTGACCTTTGACCTAGACCCTTGAGTTTGACCTACTTTTGAAAAACTTTAACCATGACCATAACTTTTAAACAGTTGGTGCTAGGGCTTTCATACTTTACATGTACATTCCTTGTGACAAGATCTACCTTTGGATAGGAACAACTTTGACCCTTTGACCTTGGAGTTAGACCTACTGTGGAAAAACTTTAAACTTGGCCATAACATTTGAACGTTTGGTTCTAGGGCTTTCACATTTCATGAACATGTGTATCACTTGTGACAAGACCTTCCCTTGGGCAGCATTTGACCTTGACTTTGACGTTTTACTTACTTTTAAAAAACTTTAACCTTCGCCATAACTTTTCAACAGTTTGTGCTAAGACTTTCATATTTCACAAGTATATTCGTTGAGACAAGACCTTTCTTTGGGTATCAACATTTTTGATCTCTTGACCTGGAGTTTGACTTGCATTTGAGAAACTTTAACCTTCGCCATAAGCTGTCATACGGGGACATCAGTGTTCACAAACACATCTTGTTTGTAAATATTTTTTATAAAGCTTGGAATCAAGTATACCTGTAGGTATTGTAGATTGAACTCACCATCGTTGACTGGAATGTGAAAAGTATTAAAGACGAAAATGTGATTTAGGAAGAATTTCCCCCTGAGAAAGTGAACTGTGTATATAAGTAGGACTGCCAGATGTAGAATTAAAACCACGTTCTTTTAAAATACAGATATAATTATGAGCCTTACAAGCAGAGACGATATTTTTACAAACCTTGTTGGAATCATATTGTTCATGTAGACTTTTTAACCAAATTCTGGTCAAATTGAAAGTTATTGTAATTAGGATATATATATATATATATATATATATATATATATATATATATATATATATATATATATATATATATATATATATATATATATATATATATATATATATATATATAGTCATAGGTTTGATATGCAATATGATACCAATTTTCATGATATTTAACTATTTTTCTTCCTTTAAGACGTTTCAAACAAAGAAGCTGTTTGTTGTAACGATTGTGCAAAGAGTGGTCCAATATCTAAACCAGTTTCTGTAACACCATCGAAAGAGCTTAGGATAGATTTTAATTCTGATAGGACAACTCATGATTACGAAAAGGGATTTGAAGTGAATTTGGTTGCCACCAAGGATTATGGTAGGTTTAGATAATTGGTACAACAATTTATTCTAAGATGGAGTACAAAAATGTAGATCCAGATATGGCTCAACAATTCACAGGAGCAATAAGAAGTGGAAAGCGTATTGTCCTTTCAAAGGTCTTAATAAAAAACATTGCATTTGTTATCACACATAAAGTCAAACCTTGTTATCTCGAACTCGATGGGACAGAAAAGATATCCGAATATTCGAGATATTGAGGGTAAAATACTTCAAAGAACAAGTGGTTGGGGACCTCAAAATCACTTTGAAATATCCATGGTATTCGAGATATCAGTGTTCGAGATACCAAGGTTCAACTCTATTTCACCTATTTCTGAAATGAACATTTTTCATTTTTTCTGGTACAAAGTTCGTATTTAAACTAACATTTCCGTTTAAAAAATACACTTAAAATGTTATCAGTGATTTACATGTAATTAAATTATTAATTTGAGAGCAGGAATAATCTTTATTTGTAAACACATAACATTTGTGATATTATTTTGGAAAAAAGAGATCATGCTTACACAATCTTAAAGTTATGGTATACGAAATATTGGGAAACCATGGATACACACTTTCCGTTTTTGACATGATATGAAAAAACAACTTATCATATTTGTAATTAATAGATCTGAAAAGAAAGGAACTACTGGTAAATTATTCAAATGGTCAAACATTGCATACAGTAGTTCATATGTAACGTATGCGGCATAAAATTAAGGTGTAACTTTTAAATAGTAATTAATGAAACTACTTAAGGAAGGCTACAAATAGCTGATAGTGTTATCCTATAATAAAAGATAAGAGAAGGTATCCAGTTTTAAAATCTGATGAAGATAATTCTGTTTCTTATTAAATGAATGAATGTGAATGAAATGTAAATAAATGTTTTGTGCTAAAGACTACATATTTGTAACCCCATTTGTTTTTTTAGATGTAAACATAAAATACTGCTACACTCTGTATATATGACAATCAGTTTATTTTAATTTGAAACTAAGAGATATAACATTTATACTCTGCGAAAAAAGGAAATTTTGTATCTTTAAATAAAGTATAAGTTCTGCAGTCTAGCTAGGATCTGGCTATCAGCCTCCTTAATCAATTCAAAACAGAGCAATGGAAGCAGTAAGGGGTCATGTTCGGGATTATTTTGTTTTCTTTCTTCCAAAGTGAATATCGACGTTATCATACTTAACCTTAATTGTTTTATCTTTGAATACAGAAAAGCTGTTTAAATTTGCCTTTTCCAATGGTATTTAAAGTTTTTGATAACCTATCCAAATTCAACATTCATGCTGAGTATGAAAAATCGCACAACCTGCGTGATATCTTTTTTTGATAGATTTTTCTCAAAATTAGAATTTTCAGAATACTGCCCAGTGGATCCGAAGCCGATCCAAATTACTGAGAAAAAACAGATTGCATCTCCAAAATTTCCAAACTTATATGAATCGTGAGTCTCTTTTTCGTTCTTCTTTGTTGTGTATCTTATTTGAATTTCGTTTGAAGTAATGCTACAATGTAATGTTATGCTAATGATTATATTTTATTTACTTGCTAGCAACCTGGACTGCATATACGAATTGACATCTCCAACTGGCGTTATTGTTAAATTCCAATATATTGATGTTGAAGTACATAAGGAGTGTAAAAATTCTTGTTGTGATAGGATTGATATATACCAAGGTACTTTGTTTTAAGGTCAGGATCTAGTGAATGAAAGGTGCCCACAGATTTCTCAAATTTGAGATACACATTCTTTTAATGATCCTTTACAAATACAGCTTGGTAAAATAAGGTGTATCGGGACATAATTTTGGGGCAAACTCATCGGAAAAACATATTATAAACTGCACATTTTCAATGAAAAATGAACAAAGTCTGTTATAAATATGGGAGGTTTTTTTCCATCTCAGGCAAAGGAAATGTATCTTTGCCTTCAGTCTCTCAGAAAACGGTTTTTCATATCTTCCTGATCTCTACTTTAAAATGGTATTAAACAGAATAAGGGTATCGGGGTGACATTTGTCATGATTTCAAATTGAATTCCATGAAAAGGCTTTATATTTCTACATAATTCTATTGAAGCCATAAAGTACGGGAAAATTAAATTTAAATCAATTATGACGTCACAATGAATCTAGCACCAAGAAGGAAGTCTAAACTCATTTACTAGATCTTGATCTTAAGATACATACAACTGTAACCTATTTTATCTTTGTATATTAAACATTACAAAAACGAAAATGAAATTTAAGCAAACGATTTTAGTGTAAATTGAAGATCAAAATTTACACAATTTTGTGAATAATTAAAACATTACAGAATACAGAGATGTTGAGTTATCCATCACGTCCGTGAAATGTTTAAGTTAAATTACTAGCAATTACATAACTTATATGGGGACAAAAGAATAAAATTAAGCCGTGTTTTAGAAAGACAAAAACAAGATCTAAAAGAAAAACAAATCATAAAAGATTAATTAGGGTGAATTCACCATGCATCGGACACCCTCGCACTTCAACAAGTTCTAGCGATATCGCTACCGACCGAATATTATCAAAATGGAACTTAAAATGTAGTATGTGGTTAAAATATAAATTTTTGACACAACCGCGCCCTATTTATTCAGAAAATATCATTAAAAACCGATTTTTTCGGAATAAGTCAGAATTCACCATGGATCGGACAATAGTCACCATGCATCGGACATACGATATTTAAACCAGAAAAAATATCATACCTTGATCTCCGTGCTTTAAAATGAGTGATATCGAAACATTTTTATCTTTTATTTAAAAGTTAAACTTCTATTTAATTTGAATGACTTTTTCGATCCACAAATGTGAAGAGATTTTAGTTGCATTACATCGCCTAAGAAAGGCTTTACAGTACTAGTAATATGGCAACTCGCGCCTTTGTCTCGTGGGTTATCACCATCTAGTTTAAAGAAATAAATTGAGTCCACGTCTAGTCGTCATATATCGATTATTTGTTTTTTCACTGAAAATTTAGAGTTTCTATTTTTTATTTCCGTAAAAAAACAGCTGTCATTTGGGTTTGATATGAAAATGGAAGTGATTACCAATGCATCGGAAAGTGTCCGATGCATGGTTAATTTGTGTGCGATGTACGGTGAAATAAACTTACTAGTTAAAAACAACTCTAAAAAATATTATAAAAACATTGAAGTAAAATTTTTGAAAAATTTCTGTAAAATAATCAATTATTGATAAATTTTACCTAGGTCCGACACGTTCCGTTGACGTCTATTTAAAAGAACGACAACTCTAAAAATTGCAAAATCGTAAAATTCTGGTTACTCCCCTTTGATGATGCAAAATATGACGTAATTTCAAGGCCATTCTTGTGGTATTTTTATCACAACATGAAAATAAAAATCGGCATCATTAAAAAGTTTAATTCTTCACCTTTAAGACAGAAACAAGTAAAAACACGGGAGATTCGGGTTCAATGAAAGTTTATTGCTTAAAATTGTCCGAAGCAAGGTATGTGTCCGATGCTTGGTTAACTCACCCTAAATATTTTTTGCATTTAGGCAAGAAAATCATTACTTCAATAGAATGCAATTGTAATGATATTCTTTTATTCTCAAGGGCCAAAAATAGAAGGGAAAGAACCCATAGCTTCAATATGTTCTCTACAGAACTTCAAATATGACAAGATTTATGAGAGTGTGGGGACAACTCTAACCCTTCATCTGGCCACTGATCAAGTTGGTCCATTTCGTGGTTTTGTGGCTACTGTTCAAGGTATGTTGTTTGCAATATTCTAAAAATTACAGTTTATCCTTTAACACCTCATAATGAATAGACTTAGCATATACTAGTTAATTCAAAAAAGAGTACAGATAACCCTGGAACTTAATGTTTTACACGTATTATCTAAATATTTTGTTTATTGTGTGTTTAGAGAGGAATAAGCATTCCTGTCTAAGGGGATGAAGGACATTTGGTCACATGACTGGTTAACTACGTCATAGTCTCCGTTTATATAAGTGCAAATCGTGTAAAGCATCAGTTCTTGTATAAATTTTTGACAATTTTTAAACTTTAATTACCATCTTATCTAAAAAAAAATTAAAAGTGTAAAAATTCTTGTAAACATTAACAAATTATGAAAAAGATTGATCCACTCCTCTGTTTCCCTAAACTGCCCGTCCAACAAGTCGGTGACGTCATACACGATCTGTTAGTACAGCAAGATCATACTCGGTGAACACAGGGGCGGTATTATTATGTAAAAACAGGTCATAATCAGTATATGATGAAATATTTTGAGAAACGGGGAACACAAAAATTATTTTTGCATGGTTGATGACGGAATGTAGGTGTATCTTATTTCGCTTATTTAGCTTACTTGTGACGTCATAGTTGGTTTTTCCCGTACTCGAGAAATGTAACATGACACGTTTTTGTCATGCTTATGTCCTCTTTAACGATGTCCTGTGAAATAATGAGGTCAGCTTCATCATTCGAAATTTTTACAGTTAATCAATAATATGAAGGATTTGCATTTCAACATAAATTAAGAAATATTGAATGGTAGAATTTTTTGTAAATAACGTTTTTTATTGTTTAACTTGTCTTAAAAAGTGCGTAATTTTCCCTGTCCAGATGCAGTGTGATAGACAAAATTGCTTTTGCGAATTTTAAACTCTAGTTATACTCTGAAATATTTTAAAAGATACACGTCCACTTTAATATTTTTATATATGCTTAAAAAATCCCATTGTGGACAGAGTAATGAGCAAACATGGAGAATTAATACTCAACTTAGATACTGCAGGGCATAGTATTTGTCAATCAATATCTCCAAAATAAGGTAAGAAACCTAATGATATAACTGCTTTAATATATGTGAGACATACTTAATTAGAAATATACAAAATATGAAAAAAATGAATGACAAGTATTTTTTAGCTCAAGGTCCTTCTCCTCCTTAAGGACTATATTTAAAATTCTTTTCTCTTTCATTTGTTTTAAACAGTGAAAAAAAAAGCAATTGAGAAAATGATTTTTAAAATGCTCTAAAAGAGGGATAATATCTTTGATTGCATAGGAAAATATATTAAAAAATCTGAAGGAACAAGGTACAGTTTCAATACAAATTTTGCCCTTTGTAGAAAATTAAAACTCATGCTTTCTGAATCATTAAAATTCCATGCAGAAAGATCATACAAATCATTTTTCTCACTAATTGTGACGTCATAAACTTGTGAATTTTCCCGTATTTTCTTAAAAAGTTGCAGGAGACACCAATTTTCAATGGAATTTTCTTTCACATAATATTGTCCACAGGCATCGCCCACAAATATTTTGAAATATGTGATTTTTCAAAGAATTTTACACTACATATCCGAAAATTTAAGTGGGCGACGCTCTGGACACTATTTTCTTAAGGTAGATAACCTTTGAAATTAGTCATTTTGAGGCTTTTTCTGTTTAAAATAGAGAAGTGCATCAGATCAATGACGTCATATTTCCAGAATGGCACTACTTTATGCAATATTTTTTCCTGTTTTATCACAGTCATATATTCAACTTATATTTAAGCCAGTTTCAAAACTTTTTGAAAACATTAAATTTTAGGGCACAATAAAGCTAACATCGTACCTTCTTCTTTGAATAAAAACATGCCTCCTTAAATCAAGGACAATTTTAACAAGCTATTTCTTCATGCGAAAAGGTAGTAGCTACCATTCAGTATATATTAATTTTATTATCTTATATACATAACATAAAAACAATAAGAAGAAAAAATATAATTACTATATCATTTTTATGAGTGTTGAAATGAATAAATCGAATTACGTTTAATGTATTGTGGTTGTTAGACACATTAGTCTTAATGTGAAAGAATGACGATAGAAACCAAAGGAATATGTGTATGATCCACAAATTGATTATATGAAGCTTCTATTAATATACAGTAAAATGAAAGAAGACTTGTGTTGAATATTTAATTCGTGACATGTTATGGAGAAGTTATATTTCTTTCAAGATGACACTGCGCCATGTAGTGCACCTTTGTGGACAACCACAATAATAATATTCAAAGAATTGACACTCTTGAATGTCCTTCACAGTAGCTAAACATCACCACAAATGAAAAATTTTCAGGCATCCTTAAAATTATCCTTAAAAGATAACTAAAGACAGTGAGTTATAGGAAAGACGTGATAAATGAAATTACACGATGTGTCACTCCAGTGCTTGATTAAATCATAGTATAACGCATCGTCAACTTAGCTGCATCAAAAACATTAGACATCACTTAATATTAAAACATGCAAAGAAAGAACTAGGTGCACCTTATGTATGTTTTGATACTCAATCCATTTTTAAGCCATTTCTTCTAGATTAGAAAGCGGTTTTGTGTTTTCATGATATATGAAAACCTCAAAACAACACAGCACTTAACGGCAAAACATGCAAACAAAGAGCTAAGTCTAATTAATTGAAATTGTTTGAAAGAGCTAAGTATACCTTATACATGTATATGAAATGAACAAATGAGTATGCATTGAATCGATGTTTATGAAATAACCCATTTCAGGCGATTAGATCTAAATTAGAAAGAAGTCTCTGAGTTTTCAGTACTTATAAAAACATCATTTCCAGGGTTTCGTTATTGGGAATCATGGTTAATTAATGTGCAATGATAATAGATTTAATCGACAAAATTAGTATTGGAAACTAGAGACCAGGGAGAGGTAAAAAACAATAGATTTTGTAACAGAATTCTCGTGTCAAAAGGGTTTTTAAGAAAGAAATAAGTAAGAGGCAATTTTTTTTTCACAGGGAACATATTAACTAAAAGTCCAAAATATCTTCGAATTTTTGTACCATTGCTCTTAAAGTAAAAGAAAGAAATAGCTCGAGAAAAATTTATTGCTATGATAATGAAAAAGGAGTCAAGTATAACTTCAAGATATTGTAACATTTATGCTTTATGTATTTAGGGAAAACTCATAAATTCTTTTTCTTAAAACATTTGAAATATTTTATCGAATGCAAAAATGCCTGGACTTATTGACGGGGGATATTGTGTTGCAAATGTACCTGCACGTATGCATTGGTTGTAATTTGGCAATACACCAAGTACAAACAACGTTTAAAAGCCTCAAGGGTTTCACACACTTGTGAACAGCCCTAGGTGAAGTGACTGTTTTGTCATTTTAAAATATTTACATATATAAGATGTGATTTCTCTTCAAGATTCCCATGGAAGAAAATCTAACTTCATATCCTCATGAACTTCAACTGAATATAACAAGGAGTAATTAGTTGGATAGCACTACATTGAGCGAAATGGGGATCCTGGACAATTCGATTATATCCGTCTGTTTATGATTGATTGATTTTATGTTGTTTAATGTCCCATTCGAGAATTTTTCACTTATTGATGTATCAACTGCTTTGGCTAAAGTGCCACAGATTATTATGACCTATGAAATATATGGAGATAACGAACAGTATTCAAGCTCAAAAGTCCATTATACAATACAAAATAGGATGTATTGCTCTGTCGGCCCTAATAAGAGATCTTTATCATGCCAACACATACTGTGATATAGGACCTTAATTTTTATGGTGTCATCTGAAAGACCCGTGACTTAAACTTCTAATGCCGGACACTTGACGAAAAACCAATCTCTGTTTTCATATACTTGAAATTCAAAGGTTAAAGCATTAATAATCTATTTGAGTTTATTGTTCATGAAGATATGACCTGATATTTTTCAATTTAATCGTGTTTTAAGAGCTTACTAACAAAGTATGATTTCATTTGATACTTCTTTATAGATGTGATGTCTTTAAGCAAACATGATTATGATGCACGGGCCACAACGTGCATTCTGATTCCATTTTTACACCGAAAGTTCGGTAATTGATATGGGGTCAGTTTCAAGATGTACATAAAACCATATGATTAAAAATTAAAATTTAGTACGTGAAGTATCAATTAATAGGGAAGTAGAAAATTAATTACACTTTTGATAAAATTATTACGATTTGACTGCAATCTGGAATCTTTTTTTAAGCAAACACAACAACTATATTAAACTGTCTACAAAGTTAATGTCATGATTAATTAGTCGCATAAACCGTGATATGAGAAACACTCTATAGCTTATCATCCAGGTAGAACATCCGAGTGTCCACCAGTCACACGTGTAACGTTTAAAATATGGTTAAAATGCAATTAAAACATAAGGGGCAGAGTGATTTTTAAAAAAAAAACAAACAAAATTGATAAAACTTGACTGAATCTTCAAAACTCGCATTCTTTTGTACCAAAAGACTAATATCTTAAAACGTTAGTATGAGAAAATTTGACCCTGCGGAAATAAAAACGTTGACAACACTATAAAATTGATTTTCTGAGACGAAGATGGAGGCATTATTCGATTGACATGATTCAGCGATTCATCTTTGTGTATAAAGCATGAATTTAATGTTTCAATTTAAAAAAAAAAAAGAATACCTTCAATAGATATGACAGGTGTCACACGTATGCATTTGATATTGTCATTGAAAAATATTCAGAGGAAGATAGTTTGTCATAAAATTCACTGTTGGGCTAGTTTTAATTCTTTCTAAGCAACTGTTTCTTTAACATTACCCTACAGCAAAGAATGACCTCTTTAATTTTTGTCCCATTTATTACTGAATTACTTGCAAAGATAATGTTCGAATGAAAAGATGTCGATAAACATGTTGAACATTAATCTATTTCTTGTGACAAGAACAATCCGACATTTTTTGTCCCCATTTTATAATAATTTTTCAATGTCAAGTCAGCGATGTGAGACATATGAAAACAAGTCTGCTTTTACACTTATGCAAAAATGTATATGACAATTGGTTATACGATTGTACCAAAATCTGTGGGGAAAATATACTCTCGATATATGTTGATGTAGTTAAGATTCAATAGGCATGAATTACAAGAGATGAAGAGTAATATTGTAGTTAAAATGAAGAAATTAACTTTAATTTTTTAATAGTAAGAGCGTAAATATATCTAATTAAATGTATTTTAATTAAAACAAAATATATGTGAGTATACATCCTGTTATGTTTCACCAAGATGTATTTTCCAAGAAGCAATTACTCATTTTATAAAATATATCTTGTTGAAAAATTTCAGGTAATAGCTTCATGAAATCTGAAATCTCACAACTAAAAGGCATTTCTCAAGTGACATGCATTCCATATTTGATCTATTGAGCTCTGGTATCTAATTAATGAATCAGTTAATTTAGCATAAAAAGAACTTTATTTACATGTGTGTCATTGTCGTAGTTAAATAGGTGATTTGTATTTTTTAAATACATTTTTCTCCATAATATAAAAAAATATATTGAATGCTCTTCATGATTTTGGATAAAATATTCAAATCATGTCAAATTCAAGACTTGAAATGCTTTGAAATTTGACTGAGAAGAGTGGTCTTCCATCAAAGACAATAACTGTCATCTATTAGCCTTAATAGTAATCCAAAACGGCCTTAAATGTCTGTTGATAGCATGCAAGTCTAAGCAGAAAAGCTATGTATTTCACATTAATTAGAATAAGTTAATTCGGTTTGAGTGACGGTTATTTAATGAAGACTTATACGTTTATTACGAAATGCCATATACCAGCTGTTAGTCCGACAGTGACAAGGCAAGACCTTAGCATGATTTAAGTGATACACAACGCAATGTTCCGTGTATGCGTTTCACTGACACTTATAGAATGCATTTGTTTTATTCTAATGATTTGAAACATATCATCTTAATGAAAATTCATTTTTTAAAAACATATCTGTTAATCATTTCCATAAAAAGACAAAATTTGAAAATATGGCCCTTTGTGTATAACTTTATGTTTTCATGAGTTCATTGTCTTGGTTTTTCATATATAAATGTCTTTGTTTTGTCAGATTTTACAAAATTTATTGTTTTCTATATTACATGTTATTACTTGTTTACAAATATAGCGAGGGTTCAAACTATTCATCAATGTTGTGTGAACTATCGACCTTTTCAAGACATCGGTGGGGAAGTGACTAAAGGGGCACACTTTCCTATTAAAAATTGATACAAGGATATTACGTAAATACCTTTTGAAAATAATCAAATAAAATGAATTTGATTATAAAATAAGCTTTGAAAACTCTTTAACTCTTTTTTTGTTGTCTCTTTTAATCTTATTCCTGTTTCTTTTTGTTTTGATTTTAAGGGGAAGAAGGACCTTGAGCTAAAAAAAATACTTGTCATTCAATTTTTTTCATATTTTGTATATTTCTAAATAAGTATGTCCCACATATCTTAAAGCAGTTATATCATTAGGTTTCTTACCTAATTTTAGAGATATTGATTGACAAATACTATGCTCTACAGTATCAAAGTGGAGTTTTAATTCTCCATGTTTCCAGGCTCATTACTCCGTTCATAATAAGATTTTTAAGCATATATTAAAAATATGTAAGTGGACATGTTTCTTTTAAAATATACTAGAGTATGAATAGGATTTAAAATTCGAAAAAAGCAAGTTTCTTCTATCACACTGCATCTGGACAGGGAAAATTACGTGCTTTTTAAGACAACTTCAACAACAAAAGACGTTATTTACAAAAAAGTCTATCATTCAATATTTTTAAGTTTACGTTGAAATGCAAGTTCTTCAAAATATTGATTAACTGTAAAAATTTTGAATGGTGAAGCTGGCCTCAATATTGCACAGGACATCGTTAAAGAGGACAAAAACATGACAAAAACGTGTCATGTTTTACATTTCTCGAGTACGGGAAAAACTAACTATGACGTCACACGTAAGCTAACAAAGCAAAAAAAGATATACCTACATAAGATTTCCGTCATCAGCCATGCAAAAATAATTTTTGTGTTCCCCGTTTCTCAAAATATTTCATCATATACTGATTATGACCTGTTCTTACAAAATAATACCGCCCCTGTATTCACCGAGTATGATCTTGCTGTACTAACAGATCGTGTATGACGTCACCGACTTGCTGGACGCGCAGTTTGAGGAAACAGAGGAGTGGATCAATCTTTTTCATAATTTGTTATTGTTTACAAGAATGTTAAAACTTTTTTATTTTTTTGTATAAGATGGTAATTAAAGATAAAAAATTGTCAAAAATTTATACAAGAACTGATGCTTTACACGTTTTGCACATCTATAAACGGAGACTATGACGTAGTTAAACAGAGTCATGTGACCATGTGTCCTTCATCCCCTTAAATATATAACTTTTCAATTTGCTTTTCAAATTTACAGTACCATTTATATAAAATTGAGTCATAATAACACATTTGTGAATAACAATCAAATTTGTGTATTTTTCAGCAAAAGAAGGAGATCCGATAACTTTACCTACAACAACTACATTAACAACAACTACAGGTATGAGAAGCAGGTTTGGCAAAAAACTGGGAAATACTCATATTTCCCACGAGAGTGGGAAATACTGGTAATTACCGGGAATTACTGGTATTTCCCGGGAAATACTGGGAATTAAGAAATAGCTACATACTTCATTCATATTGACATGTAGTACACCTTTTTGGCTCAGATATCTACCTGGTATCACTGTTCCTGATTTAAAAAATTCTGGTTTCCAAGTAATTCATTTTATACAATCATAACACAGCATAGTCATATACCAGTAATTACTACCTATATTTAAATCTACTTCAGGTATGATAATTAGCATGTTTTAGCTAATCGACTACAGGCGTGATAATTATTACCTACACAGTGATATATAAAAATCACTGAAGACAGATAATTACCACCTTTAATTAAATCTACTACAGGTAGGATAAGTAGCATTTATTGCCATTACTTAAACGACTTCAGCTTAGATAATTATTGCCTATCATTAAATTTATCACAGGTAAGATGATAATTATGTATGATGAAAGTATGACTCGAAAAAAGACAATTTGCAATGGTAATGAAAACGAATAAAGCTATGTCAATATTACCTATTATTAATATCCTCCACCTTCCTACTGGGTAGAAAAGAGCAAAGGCAGCAAACAAAAAACTGGTTTGGCGTAAAGCTTGATATCCTCTCAAAAAAGCTGAAATGACAACAGTCATATTAGGTGGGGGTGGGGGGGGGGGGGCTGGGATTTTTCCTTATTGTATGCATATCTACAAAATGCGATAAAAATTTGTTTTGTTTTTTAATTTTTTTAATTGTGCCTCGATATCTTTGAAAATAATCTTAACTTTTACATCCATTTCACATAGCGACTTCAAAGTTTCTGATTTTGTTGTTGCATTCATTTACTGTAGACCAATCCATCGAAGGTCTTGAAACACTGCAATATAGTAGATTCGAATTACGTTGTAAAATACCAACGCTGGAAAATGGTGTCGACATCTCATGGACCAAAGATGGACTTCCTCTTGTTTCCGTTGATAACAACAGATATTATTTTTTGGAAGACAATACCCTGGTTGTATTTACGTCCATACTACAAGAAGATAGTGGAGTTTACGTTTGTGAGGCTAATGATCCATTTATGACAACATATAGTGCAAGAATAGTCGTAAATGACAGCGGTATGCTATAACGTTTAATGTAAATTCCGTTTATTAAAGTTGAAGATTTCCAAATCTATTGTATCTGTATACCATTTTTTTCTTACAAGTGGTTGTTATCAAATTGCCTTTTGCGCTCTGATTTAATATACAGTTATTATCACCAATTAAATTATTGATAGATCATTTTCATATAATTTGATAAGAATTCAACAAATTACTATAAAAAATGAGGAAGGAAAATAAATCTAATTCTTAATCAACTTTTGCCAGGGTTGAGATGTACTGAAGACACCTGCAATGGGAATGGAACTTGTGTTGATAATAATAATTCGTATATCTGTAACTGTTTTCCGGGATATGAGGGGAAACATTGTGAAAAAGGTCAGGAAATTAATTCATGTGTTTGCTGATTAAACGTATGATAAAGGATTAAAACAAAATCAGTTCAAGAGACTGCATATACAGATCTATATTACATCTTGAATAAAGGAAAATGCTAGAAAAATATTACTTTTTAATAATACTTCTTTTAAAATGCAAATACTAAATCTAAAATTTTGTTTCTATTTTATTTTTTGCTTGTGCTAAATGAATTTTTCACATCTTAAGATAAGGATGAATGTCAAACACCCGATATCTGTAAACACGGGTCTTGTATCAATACTGTGGGTTCTTACTACTGTGATTGTCTGACGTCCCCGGGATGGACAGGACCTGCGTGTGAACAAGGTAGATTTATTGTAATGTAATAAATCGCTAAAATGATGGATCTTTTAATGTAATATTTTTTTATTGCAATGTGTCTTAAATGACATTTTTTTATTGCTACAATCTACTTCGAGATTGTATCAATGAAATGATGTTATGAATATGGGTTTATGCTAACTGACATCATAAAAACTGTAAGTAATGAAGGTAATATTATTCCAATGAAATTTCATCAACGTTGTAAGGTATTGTTATGAGAAGAAAACACTTGGCCTTGAACTCGACATTTAGATATATCGACGATGTATTATCAATTAACAATAGTTAATTTCATTCATTTGTCGATTCGATATATCCCAGTCAACTTGAAATAGAAAAACACCACAGAGTCTGCCAGATCTGTTTCATAGTTGGATGCTTTACTGATTATAGACGATAAGGGCAAACTAACAACTAAATTGTATGACAAACGAGATGACTTCAACTTTTCCATCGTCAACTTTCCTTTTTTATGTAGTGAAACTGTAATATCTTTCTATCACCTGCATATGATGTTTACATCTCCCAACTTATTCGATATTCAAGAGCATGCTCCGAGTGCGATCAATTTTTAAATCGAGACAGGCTACTGACAGATAATTTGATATTACAGGGATTTTAACAACCTCGTTTAAAGCCAGCAGCTTAAATTTTATGATTTAATGCTTTTGTTAACAAATATAACCTATCATTGGATCACATTTTGGCTGACATTTGTTTTGCACTGAATTTGACTACGGAATTTCCGTCTACCTGATCAATACATAGGGCTCATGGCGGGCGTGACCAGTCACAAGGGGATGGATGCTTACTCCTCCCAGTAACCTGATCCCACCTCTGGAATTTACAGAGTTCCGTGTTTTATGTCCTCTTCATAGAACTGTATTGTTTATAGATATTTTGAGATCGATCACTGTTCGTTATCTATTGAACTTCCAACAATCTATTGGAATTCCCATGGGTACTAATTGCGCCCCGTTATTAGCAGACCTTTTTTTGTATTCACATGAAGCAGAATTTGTCCAAAATCTTGTACGTGAAAAGAAGAAAACATTTGCCTTCAACTCGACATTTAGATATATCGACGACGTATTGTCAATTAACAATGGCTATTTCCATTCTTATGTCGATACGATATATCCCGGTGAGCTTGAGATAAAAGATACCACAGAATCTGACACATCTTTTTCATACTTGGATATTTTACTTGAAAAAGACATTAATTTTTATCTAAAACCAAGCTTTATGATAAACGTGATTACTTTAACTTTTCAATCGTCAACTTCCCTTACTTATGCAGCAATATACCTTCATCACCTGCATACGGGGTATATATATCTCTCAGTTGATTCGATACGCAAGAGCATGCTCTACGTATGTACAATTTCTAAAACGAGGTAAATTATTGACAAACAAGTTGATTAAACAAGAATATCAGCTGTCTCGTTTAAAATCATCATTTCGTAAGTTCTATGGTCGATACAATGACCTTGTTTGCAAATACAATTTATCATTGAGTCAAATGCTGACTGACGTTTTTCATACTAATTGTTAGGCCATTATTTACACACTGAATTGTCGACGGATTTTTCCGTTATTTCCCGATCACGACAAGGAGCACACGGCGGGTGTGATTGGTCGGCAGGGGATGCTCACTCCTCCATGGCACCTGATCTCACCTCTGATGTTTGGAGGTCCGTGTTTGCTCTGCTCCTATTTTGTATTGTTTAATGGACTTCTGAGCTTGAATACTGTTTTTCATCTCCATATATTTCACTTCACCTTTTTCACTGTAATATACAATGTAATGTCTGATCGTGGGAAATAGGTAATTGAGTGCACAACAAAATGAGGATTGGTCCCCTTCATTATAATTCCTTTTTCTTAATTTCTAACTGCCTGATTTTAACTGTACCTGCCTGCTATATAAGACTTTAATTTGAAACCTGCTTAAAGGAATAAAGACGTGTCTTTATTTAATACAGATATAGACGAATGTAAAAGCAATGGAACGAATGTATGCCCCAGAAATTCCGTCTGTGTAAACAGCGTTGGAAGTTATGACTGTAGGTGTAAGCAAGGCTGGAGAGGACCATCATGTGAAATTGGTGAATGTGCCATTTCTGAAATAGTTTGCGTTGCTTTCATTATAGTGATTTTTGGTTGTTCTTGTTATCGGTTATGTAGGATATTGCGTTGCTGCATTTAAATATTATTTCATAGAGGTATTTTTATTTTCTTAACATAATAAGCTAAATCTGGATTGATAGAAATATTGGTAGGAGACAGTTAAATTAACAAATAATAAATTTAACTTTTTTTTCAGTACCCTTACATACACTTTTGTAGTCCTTTACGATGAGGACATATTTCGTTTTAGACATGTTTAAAACATAGTTCAAGGAAATATGAAGTGAAAAAAAAATAATATAGTTCAAAATTATTTTTTTGGAACAGAAGAATAAAGATCATCCTAATTATTGTTACTTTATATAAGGCCATTGTTGTTTAAGAAACATATTCATGCATATGAAAACGAATCTTTCATTTTAAATTTTGGCACGCCCAATTGAGAATATTTTTGTCACATCCATGAACTGAAATCAACTGTATTCATTAAAAACTTTTTTTTTAAATCTTCATTACAAAAAAACTTTATTCACAGATGTAGACGAATGTAACAACATGCCTTGTAGTAAGAATGAAATGTGTGAAAATAGACCTGGAACTTATCTGTGTACGTGCAAGAAAGGCTGGAGAGGGTTTAACTGTACAGTAGGCAAGTATTCTATTAAGAGAGGCATACATTCTTAAACAATGCTTATGCCAAAAAAACCCAAAATTTATCAAATATTTGTTGACAACTAATTTTGCAGTGTAAATTAATTTGTACTTCTGAATAAAATAAAGGTTAAAATTCTTTTTAAAAACTCAAAATCCATTCACAGCTTGTATTCAAGAACTACAAAAAGTTGCATATTGACAATTAGCAATGATAAAAAGTATCTGTCCTTGAAAAAGTGACTGATAATTTCCTTTCATTACATTGTTTATTATCATATTGTAAATTTGATACATTGTCCAGTTTGGAGAAAGATTTTTCCAGTTTCAGTTTATTCATTTTTACAATTGACATGTTATTTTTTATATACGGCCTAATTTTGTTTAACAGATATTGATGAGTGCCAGGTAAACAGATCAATATGTGGTCAAAATGGAGTTTGTATCAATGACAAAGGTAGTTACTCTTGTAAATGTAAGACTGGTTGGACGGGGTCCGACTGTAACACAGGTAAGATAATAAATTTTTGAGGTCATGTTTTCCACTCAAAAACTGGAACAAAGCTGTTTAATTGCCTTAATAACTGTCTCATATGTGCATTTCATCTCAATTTTACTTGCACATTATGCCTTAAAATTCATTTTTAAATATTACCTTGAATAAATTACAGAATCTTAAATTAATAATTTCAAAATCAACTATTTCCTTTAATATCATTAAGATACGAATGAGTGCAACCATAAATATAACATTGAATAGATAACAGTATATTGTATTTAAATCAGCTTTTTTTTTTTAATATCATTTAGATATAAATGAGTGTTTAAACATCACGTCATCATGTTCGGGAAATGGTCGCTGTCTGAACACTCAAGGCAGTTTTAAATGTTTGTGCAATTCTGGATGGGAGGGACCCAGGTGCTCTGTGAAAGGTAGATTCCTAAAGAACAAATTATATTTGATTGATAAGTTTTAATATATATATATATATATATATATATATATATATATATATATATATATATATATATATATATATATATATATATATATATATATATATATATATATATAAGCTATTGGATATAATATAACTCTCATAAGCAAACAACATATGTCAGGAAGTTTTAAAGACATAATTTTTTGATCACACATAAATAAACTTTATTTTTTATAAACACAACTGCATGTGATATACCTTGCGGATTATATTGTTTCAGTGCAACTCTCCTGCATTCAAATACCTTGTAAAAATAATGGATCTTGTATTCGAATCGCCACAACTGAGAAGTACCAATGCATTTGTTCCGAAGGATTCGAAGGTGCCTTCTGCGATAAAGGTACGTTGTGTTTATGTTTGTATTTTACCAATCAATGCATTTAATCAAATAATATAATCTTGTAATAAAAAAAATCGAAATATCCCACAAATTTGTAAGAATATTATATTAGTTCACTTCTTCAAAACAATTCTCTTTAATCTCGTCATTAATTTTAAGTGCAAATTCATCTGCCATGTTTTAATCGAATGAGATAAATTTTCTCAGAGCAAAGATTTGAAAACTATTGTTGCTAGAGTTTTGAAAATTATCCCAAGTTGCATCCTGATAGCCAAAGCGTGGACTCGATCAGCTGGATTTAGGTCATATTTTCCACTCAAAAACTACAAAATGCTGATTGCATGCTCATGTTGATGCATGATTGCTTAATATTCATTTTTTAAAATTATTGAATACATGACAGTATCTTTAATTTATAGTTTTCAAATCAATAATAATCTTTAATATAATTAAGATACGAAACTTTTGCATTCACAAATATAACTCTGAATAGAGAAAGGTACACTGTATGCTTAATTTAAATCGGATTTTCTTTTAATATCATTTAGATATTAATGAGTGTTTAAACATCACATCATCATGTTCGGGGAATGGCCGCTGTCTCAACACTCAAGGCAGTTTTAAATGTTTGTGTAATTCTGGATGGGAGGGACCCAAGTGCTCTGTGAAAGGTAGATTCCTACAGAATGTAATTATATTTTATTAAAATTTATTTAACAAAAAATGCTTCTATCAGATATAATATTACTATCTTAAGCATATTAAACTATATTAGGGTTTGTCCGTAGTCTTAAAAAGTTAACATTTTTAAAATCATCACACATGACTAAATTTTATTTTATATTAACACAGTCATATGTGATATATCATGATGGTTATATTGTTTCAGTTCAACCCTCCTGCATTCAGATACCTTGTAAAAACAATGGATCTTGTATACGAAACACCACAACTGGGAAGTACCAATGCATTTGTTCCGAAGGATTCGAAGGTGCCTTCTGCGATAAAGGTATACTTTGTTTATGTTTGTTTTTTACCAATCAATGAATGTAAGCAAATATTATAATCTTGTCTTGAAAAAATCGAAATATCCCACAAACATATAAAAATATTATACTAGTACAGTACCTCAAATCAATTCTCCTTAATATCTTCATTTTTTAAGTGCAAATTCAAAACGAGGAAATGTGGGGGGGGGGGGGGGGGTTTATCGAATGAGATAAATTTTCTCAAAGCAAAGATTTTTAAAAATTGTTGCTAAAATTTTGAAAATTGTCCAAAGTTACATACTGATAGCAAAAGCGTGAACTCGATCAGTTAGATTTAGGTCATATTTTCCACTAAAATCCTAGATAAATGCTATTCAATTGCTTTTATGGCTGTCTTCTGCAATTGCACATGATTGCTTATAATTCATTCTTAAATATTACCTTGAATAGTTTACAGTATCTTTAATTAATAATTTTCAAATCAACTATTTCCTTTATTACCATTAAGATACGAAACGTGTACATTAAAAATATAACACTGAATAGATAAAGGTATGCTTAATTTAAATCAGCTTTTCTTTTAATATCATTTAGATATTAATGAGTGTTTAAACACCACATCATCATGTTCGAGGAATGGTCGTTGCCTGAACACTCAAGGCAGTTTTAAATGTTTGTGCAATTCTGGATGGGAGGGACCCAGGTGCTCTGTGAAAGGTAGATTCCTACAGAATATATTATATTTTATTAAAATTATTTAACACAAAATACTACTATCTGTTATAATACTACTATATTAAGCAAAGAAGGTTTGTCATAAGTCTTACAAAGTTAACATTTTTTAAATGACTATATATATAACTAAATTTTATTTTATATAAACACAGTCCTATGTGATATACCTTGGCAGTTATATTGTTTCAGTACCACTTTCCTGCATTCAGATACCTTGTAAAAATAATGGATCTTGTATACGAAACACCACAACTGGGAAGTACCAATGCATTTGTTCCGAAGGATTTGAAGGTGCCTTCTGTGATAAAGGTACACTTTGTTTATGTTTCTATTTTACCAATTCTTGACTTTTATCATATATATCAGAATCTTGTAATGAAAAACTCGAAATATCAACTTAATCTGCTCCAGATTCGTATTGTTTTAATTGACTTTGAGCTTGAATACTGTTTTTTTCTCTATATTTCATACATGTAATACTATATCACCATCCATTGGAATTTTTTTAATCTCTACATTATTTTAAGTTCATAGGAAAACTGCTTTTTTTAAAATTACTGTATCCTTGATTTAGTGTATAAGAAGCAGTATGCATTAAAGGCCAGGCTATTTTTTTACGGTTCATATTTCTGTATCTTAGATGCAGATGATTGTCAATCATTTTTTGGAGAGGGCTTAAATAGGCTATGCCTGCTGCACAATCCAGTTATGTATTTATTAAATAATAAAATATGTTCAAAACAAAAATCATTTTTCCTTGACATTTTCAGATATCAATGAATGTTCGACTAAATGGAGTCCCTGTTCTGGGAGAGGGTCATGTGTCAACTCATTTGGATCTTACTTTTGCAATTGTTATGGAGATTGGGAAGGGCTCAGATGCGAGAAAAGTAAACAAATTATTACTTTTTTTATTTCAATCGGGGGAAATTTACGTACTATAGTCTGATTACGCATACCAACGGTAATATTGATAAATATTACTGTAATTCGTTTACGGTCAAGTTCACAGGATTTTATTCACTAATATCAATTCCAAACCTCAAAATCAAATTTGAAAGAGAATTTAAAAAAAATATTTTGATATACCTTTGGAACATATTTGCGAGTTGAAATTCCTCTGTGGGACATGAAGACCTGTTTTTGGATGAGACCGTTTAAACCTAGGCCCAGTGCCATAGTAGATGCTAGCATCACTTCTCAAAGGCCATTTGTGCTGCCAACAATTCTTAATCTGTAATACCGTATAACGGGTATTTTCTGCCGTTGTCCAATTTTTGCGGAATTTTGCGGATAGGACAAATCCGCAAAAATTACAATCGCAAAATATTTTTCAATATTCATATAGATATTTTGTATATGCAATTAAGAACCTGCGTACTGGACGCAGCAAAATTACTTGGAACGCAAGGTTTTTAAAAGCGATGCGTCCGCAGACTCATGAGTGGTCATATCCTCGTTAGCAAGAAAATTCGGGTGTCATCGAAATTCGAAGATTTTAGATGTTAGGATTTATCCAAAACATATTGAATCAGAACCTTCCTTTAAATAATATCATAAGTTGATACAAAAACATCTTTACTTGTACCTATTTCGCAATTATTAATCCAAACTCCGATAGCTGCAAACAACACATGGTAGCTTTTCTTGTTTAAACACTTTTTTTTAATCTTGTGTTTTATATTGAGACAATAATTACTGCTTGTATACACAGTGTGGCTTGATCGTCTCGTGAATTTTACCTAATGAAGACGACTGACAGGATTAGTTACGGCTCAATGCACATGACACCTGTGATTGTTAACCGTCAATTTTAGGGTACTAGATTATGCAATTGTTTGTTTTAGCTTAAAATATAAACACCAAATTAATTTTGATGGCAGTTAATTAGAAGCGTATTTTAGAATATGGCTTGGATGCATTTTTTATCATTATCTATATATTTAAATATTTTAATAGATCGCATAAAACGCCTGTTAGAATAAAGATTTGTATTGTTGTTTGGGTGGACTGACACTGCATTAATTCATTTCAATTGGTATTCGAAATATTTTTACAAAAACTAACTAAAAGATAGTAGTTTAATTAAGCTTAATAGCTTAATACCAGTTCTCATACAGCTTTGGTCAATATGTCTTAATGAATTTATAAACGTAAACATGACAGCGTTCTGATAATTCATAAAGTTTAGTGATCATACCCCGTAAATAAATTTTTGCGGTATAGTGCAACCGCAGAAATTGAAAACGCAGAAATTAATTTGCTACTTTTTAGGGGTTAAATCGCAAAAAATTCCTACCGCAGAAAATACCCGTTATACGGTATTCCTCTGGCAATCAATTGCGTCGAAACATAAAAGAAATATTCTCGAAGGAACGTAAAGCAAGCAAACAAAAATACATTTTAACAATTCTAATTTATAAGACTGATCATCAAGAGTCGAACCGATCAAAACTGATCAATGAAATTTATGGATGGATTGACAAATATCTGTAGCAAGAGCTCTGCTTCCTACATGTACTTCAGCCAGACTATTATTCAGCCTACATATAAAGTATTTATAAATAAACCTATATCTGAACAAAAATCCATTCTCTGAACCGTACCTTTGTAAGTAAACGTATATGTCATTTTCTCTGTTGCCCATCTTTTAAAGCATAGATTGAAACATTTTTGTTCAATATATTCTTATCCATGTTCTAGGAATTGATCCTTGTTTGTCCAATCCTTGTCCAAAGAATTCAGTGTGTGAAACAAAAGACAGTTCTTATCAATGCACCTGCATAATTGGATGGGAGGGGCCAAACTGTGATCAAGGTTATTTTAAAATTCATCAAATACTTTTTAATATTCATTCTTGAGCTTTTTATCAACGTCAAAAACTTCATTTAATGCGAAATCTTTACATTTTAGAGGTGAAGAGAGCGACAGGTAGTATGATATTATTATATTTCAAAATTTTAATTTAAGACAGTCGAAAATAATTTTCAAGTAAACAATAATATTAATACGCTTCTCTCTATTAACGAATCATTCAATGACACGTGCATTACAGTGAAATGAAGTTTTCATTTCTATATATAAAGGTCCATGTGCAGACATGTGCAAAGGTGAGGAGTCCTGCTATTTAGAACACGACTGTACCCATTACAAGCACTGCTATGCTAGGAATTTTGCTTGTCACTGTACATTGATGAAGTGTGCATTTGGAACGTTTTGGAGTTCTTCCCTCAATACATGCGACAAAGTGTCTAACGTACTTTGTAAATCGGGTATGTTAGTTTTGTTCTAAATAGCGTGAAACATCTGATTGCATGAGATATTGAGCTGATTTGTCCTATTCTCCACTATAAAAATGCTCTTTCAGACAATGTTTAACAATTGCCACCATTTTGTCATTCCGCAGTAAAATTGAACATCGAGTTTGTTGCCTTTGCAGATATATAGTTGAAAATTATTATGTGTGCTTGTACAGTGTTGACAGAGATGTGTCGTATTGTTAAGGAAGGCTACTTTTTCTAAATGAAATAAAAAATAACACCTGAAGTTTAAAGGAAATGTATCATTAAAGAAAGAAATACATTTTTTTAAAGGAGAGGCATGCATTTGATTTTTTTTTATTTTTATTTTTGTGTCTTATGGCCTATCGAGATACTAGAAGTTTTCTCTTTGTTTTCAAAAGGGAAATGAATCTTGCGAAGACGACTTGATATCTCTTACCTATGCAGAATGAGTTGCCCTGTGGGATGAAATTACAATAACATACGAACAGTCAATTTGTATATCATTTCCTTTCAATTTAGTCTAATCTCGAACGGTTAACAATATGGATTTCCACCTAATTTAATAAAGAAAACCCGTCTTTTTAGATCCATGCCTTAGCCTCCCTGTTGATTCAACTTATCCTAGCGAATTTAATTGCCGTACATTCTACGTATGCAACAGAAACATGCAGTCAATAGCAATGTGCTGTGATTGGGGGTATGCATATGACCCAGAAGTTAAGAACTGTACGAGAAGCAGATACTGTAACTTAGAATGTTCTACCCAGAATGTTCCAACAACAGTGGAGACAACACCCTCATGGGTTACTTCAGACAGTAAAGGATGTAAGCATTTTCAGTATACATCTTTTAATAGATGATATTTTGTTTTCACTTCGTTTTATATACATATATGTATGGTGGTATATGTTGCAACATTTAATTTCCAGTTTGTGAACTTCTCCCTGTCAGAGGAGATCCCAGTAAATTTATCCACAGTGGGATAATACGAGATTGTGCAAAGGGCACGATTTTCCAATCTTCTATCTGTGGTTGTGGAAGTGACAAGGATTTTATACAATCGCGTATGATTAATTTATAATTTGAATTCTAGAAACTATTTTTTCTGATTCTAAATGTATGTACGTTAACATTATCATAAAATGTTCACTACATATATGGAAATGTATATTTGCTTCTAAGTGATCACTATTAGATTATATGTAAAATATATTTCTCTTTCTCCAAAAAAAAAAAAAAAAAAAAAAAAAAAAAGATATGGATAGAAATAGATAAAGGACGACAACACTGTACTAAGCAGGGGCCCGTTTTACAAAAGAACTTACGACTAAGACCAAAAACTTGAGTTGATTGTAAAATCTTGCAAAATAAATGATTCTGGTAAATTTTGCATGTATAAATAAATCTATCTGAAAGAATAAAACCATTTTCAATTTAATGTAAAATAGAAAGATATTCCCAAAATTACATTTTGGTTTTAGTCGTAAATTCGTTTGTAAAACGGGCCCAGATGTGGACTTAACAAAATGTCATAAATTCATATTCTTTTCAGGGTGTTCATCGTTAGTTTATTTGGATTTTCAAGGGGATAAAATACAAGATGTTTATCATCAAAGCTACGTCGAAGTAAAAAATGTTATGCGCATGAATTTTAGTGAACCAAAGGACGTTTATGCATTTTTCAACGGAAGATCATCAAGTATACGAATTCCTCGCTTCAATGCAGTTGCACTTCGCCTTCTTACAATACAAATCAGATTTTACGCTCTGCCATCTGGACCAAGATATCAGGTGTTGGTATCTAATTGCCGTTCTTCAGCGAAACCTACAGGAATTATAGAACTCCAAAATCAGACTCCTTCCGTAGCGATCGTGGCTGACACCAAGGATGAACATCTTACACTACTGGGATATAGTGAGGATTGGAGAGTTAGGCCTGCCATACTAACGTTATCTTATAAGGTGTTGCAAAATCATACATTGCTTAAGTAAACTTAATATATTGTGAAATCAATTTTTTGGGTGTGGGGCGGAGGTAATTTTCGGGGATTTTTCCTGTTATAAAGAGACTTAGGAAATTTTGTCATCCACGAAATGTAAAATTTCAAACTCATAACAACTCAACACTTCTTCAACTTCAAAATCAAATCCCCATGATTCTCTATTTTTTTCTCTAACCACAAAAAATTGAATCCATGAAAACATAAGATTTTGCAGCATGGAAAAATACCCCTAGTCGAAAATCACAAATAAATAATTAATTGAATAGATAAAGGAATAATAGAAAAATATGAGTTTATATGTAATTTATACGAAATTTAAGAATTAAAAAAAAATAAAGTTATGATATTCTAATTAAAGTTCTTTATTTAGTTGATTCTCACTAAACTGTTTTCTATACGCATGTTTCTTTTAAGTTTTTCATGTATGATACTGGTTTTGAAAATTTGAGAAGTTTTGATTTTGCATGTTTATCAGGTCCAAACTTGGATGAATGTAGAATTATTATATGACGGCAGAAGTCTGGCAGGGCGAGTGACGTCATTTAATTCAGATGGTTCAATTTCGTTTGAAAGTAGAGACAAAACTGTTTTATCAGGTGATTGATCTAAATATTTTTAATTTGGTCAAATGTCATGAAAATAGCTATACAAATGTGGCCATTTAGATGATTTCAGTTGTAGATGAAAATATTTCAGAGGGATTTATTTGCTAACTTATCTAAAAACAGAGTCATATATATTGTCCTTAATTGGTTTGGGAAAAAAGTAAATATTGTAAAATACCACTTCTAAGTGCTGAAATGAGAGCAAATGTGCCTTTTTAGAAGATGTTATCAATTTTTTCCTGTTGTCATTCAAAACAGGAAGTATTGTAGCTCCAGATGGCCCACTTAGTATAGGCATGTGCAAGGAAAATCAAGATGCTTTCTATGGATATATGGACATGGTAGGTACAAATAAATTGTATTGTGCAATTATGGTCGAATGCTGTTTTAGTTTTAATCAGTTTTTCAACGGTCAACGTTGCTTAGTCAACAAAGACATTTGATGTGTGACTTTTCATTCCTTTTCAATGACAACTGCAACCTAAGGCTTTCGCTTTTGCTTAACACATTTTTCATATTTATTTGGTGAAGAACAAAAGAGATAGTTTAGAATACATGTATTTGCATATTTTGAATCTTTCCATTTATTTCCTAATAGGTTCAAGTATTTGACTGCAATCCATGATCTCAACTTGAAGAATTCCAAAACGTCCACTGATTATTTATCTGTGTGTTACTTGTTATTGTTCTATTTGTAATGTATTTGAGTAACAATTAATTTTCATCCAAAATCTTCAATATTTCCATTAATAATACATGTATAACATGTATGATATTTGTAAATACTCTTACTATGTATTACTATGAATAATCCAAATATTATTTATTTTTAGTCGAAGCTTACCTGAGGTAAAAGTTCAATGAGCTTTTCTGACTGAAGACTGTCCGTCGTCTGTTTTTCATGTGTAATCTATAAATTTAATACATTTTAAGTGTCTAACAACTTTTTAAAATCACTTGGTCAGTTTGCCACAAAGCATCTACATTTTTTTTTCAAATGCAGAGTTACACTCTCTTTCACGATATAAAAAGGAAAATCGAAGCCTCGATCAGGGGTTAAGATGGAACAGCAATTAAGATCTAAGTGTCCCCTGGAATATATTTAAGAAAATCTGTTTTGTATAGCTGAACCATAATGAGGCATTGCATTGCTCCTTGGACAAAGCTGGGATTGATAAAGGTCAAATTCGTATGTGGGAACACACAGAAAAAGTTCTTTTAAAAATATCTTACGAAAAACAAAGTAAACTTTATTATATTAATACAAAAACATCTCTATTTAATTCAGAATCAGTTTTATTTGATGCAAGGCCTGATGAACTAAATTGGAGTCCATGTTGGGAACAGAAATTCATACATAAATATCAAGATATCCACAAGAATGAAAAAGCTTACAAAGGCTGTAAAGTTGACATCAGCCATTGCACTATAAATCAAAATTTTCCAAACCATAAATTTGAATGTAGAGAAAACAATAAAGGATTAATTTTAAACATGTATTCATTCTTGGCCATACAGGGGATGTTGACTAGGGTGAGCATTGTTAACTTTACCTTTCTATTTATATTTCTTATTTATGTAGCACTAGTAAAGATTAAATAGAAATAAAATTATTTTACATTTAAGTCTTTATTCCATATATATATTTAAGGGTGAGTGAGAACTATGAAATGTGTTGATAAATAAAACTTTTCTAAGAAAAAATAACGATTTAACGTAGAACCTACGTCGTATGACGTCATACTGAGAAAATTAGTTTAGACTGTCTTTTTGGTGCTAATCCATTATGACGTCATAATTAATTTAATGTTACTTTTTCCCGTACTATCTTCAAGAATGTCTCATGTAATGAAGTTACACAACTGTGATAATGTGAATGACATGCAACTATTTTGAAGGAAATCAAAAATCCTAAGAAATCTAAATAGTACAATATCTTGATGAAAAGTGTCTGAGTCAAAAATCTGTTAAAAATTGTGTGTAAATTTTGTAATGTCTATCATGAAATGACGTGCATTCCCTTTCATAATTATTTGTTAATTATTCATAATGGTTGGTGTATAATAATAATGTTTCCCGAAAATATTATCTTTTTAAATAAAAAAAAAAATACATTCTTTGATAAATATTCACATTGTAAATCTGAATGTAACCCCAAAACAGTAATTTAATAATTAAATCCTGTGTAAGTGCAAAAAGGTCAACAAAAGAAGTATGGATAAATAGAGTGTTCTCATTCGTTTGCGGGGAAAGGTATATATTTTAATCACTTTTTGTAATTATTTGGGTATGTTCTTCATCATATTAAAGATTGAAAACATTCTGACAAAGACTTTTGAAAAATATTTACAAATTTAGGTGGTAAATTGACTAAAATAATATTGAGCACAATTGCTTATATTCGTTGAAATGTGGACTTAATCTTTTATGTCAATTGAATAAAAAAGAATTTATTCTTGAATAATATTGCTTAATATGGTTCAGTTAATAAAGTCTATAAAGGACGATGTTTGAAGAAGTATTTTAGTGATTTATTATATTCTCTTTATGACCAGTACCCCTAAAAATGGCTGAAAATATGTAGTCGCTGTGTAACATTATCCTTCCAAGTTGCACAGACTGCACTACATTTAATAACGAAGAAACATACCATATATTTTTAACTGATTGATAAGCGAGAGCTAATTTATCATTTTGAAAAGTTTGAAAATCTTGTGACAAAGACTTTTCCGACATAGGTTCTACCTTAAATTCTGAGTAAAAATGCTGCATTATCGATATCAGTATCAACTAGTAAAGGAATGATGCCTTAATGTTTCCAGTATTTAAACAATTACTGTCTTTAAGTATTCTAATAAACTTTAATTTGGTCAAAAAATGTATATCAGGACCTAATATTTTGGGTACAAATATTACAAAACTATTCAAAACTGTAGTTTTCAATTAAAAAAAAAAACTTTGTTTTAGATATGTGATTTTTTTTATGAGACTAACGAAATGTATTAAAATTACCTACAATCTCTCATAAATCGGTTACAGTGGATATTACTTTCCTCTTTAAAATTTTATTAAACTTATAATTGGTATCTTGCTTACTTTTCACATGATTTAAAATTGAATGCCACGAAAATGCATCATGTGCTTATGGCCGTAAAGTTAAAAGCAAGTTGAAATCATTTTATTACGTCATGAACTTATATTTAAGATCAAAATGACAGCCTTGTCTCATTAATTAGATTTTACCATAAGTAATTCGATAATTGCAAATAAAAATAAAAGATTGTTCCTCTTAAAGGAAAAAAGTCAAGATATCACTTGGGATCTTTATTACTGACTCGGAGAAGAATACATACAAGTAGCAACAAAACAGTGTATTGATCTATGTATAACGTTACAGTAAATCCAATAGCTGTGTACCTCTCTTTTTCTGTATATTTTATCAGTATGTTTCTTCCTGCTATGTATATAAATAACATTACAATCTGTATAATACGCCTAATTTTTAGAGTACTTGTGAGAAGACTCAGTGCATCAAGCTAGTGTTTCAGGAGTTTTTATTATAAAAAAAATAAATATATTTTTGGTAAAAAAATAGTGCCAATTACAAATGAAAATAATATAAAGCTGTGAAAGTCTTAAGCTGTTCTTTAATATATCGAATGATCATAATTTCATCATTTTTGTTATATTATCGTCGGACCGATCAATGAGCTAACGTATAAATTACTTATGCTAAGATATCAAAGGGAATTAAAATGAAATCCTGTTAAATGATAAATGAAAAAATAAATGCAATGTAATAACAGATGCGTTACGTATTTAACTGATAAGAATATCATGAGAATTTCTTCATGCCCATAAGTATAATACATGTACAGTTTAACTATATGCATATGATTGACTTCTATCAAAGTTTGTCACCGGAATATAATTAAAAATTCTATATTTGGATTCTCAAAATACAATACATATAGATACTGACTATTGTAAGTGATTGAAGATTTATAATAATTTAAAAAAAAAATTATAATAAAAATTAATAAACGTCGGTGAACATTGGTGAAACATTAAAAAAACGTAAGGAATGTAACATTTAAGACAAAAGTGTAGCAAAATTATGGCAAGTACTCTTCTTATCCCAATTTCACCATATTTCAACAGAATTTTTTTTTTAACCTAGCTCTAAAAAAGTCATTTTGAATGCAGTGACTCTCTGTTCTTGACCCATGATCACTCTCTGATACTGTTAAATTCTCTTACAATCTTTCTGATTAAACAATATCAGAGTTTTGCCGTCAATGGTGTGTCTGTTAGTAACAGTCTATCCAGGTGGTCCAAACATTCCTGAATGACCTGAGCAAACTTTTCTGAGTTGGCGATGTTACTAGTTCTCCATGTTGTTACAGCCATCTCAATGCTATAAACAATAGAAAAGAAACAGATATAGATGGTTATTCTTAATGTACTTTCACTATTTGTCTAAGAGTTTAAATTAACACATACTATTTAAAAGAACACGGGGAAGTATAGTTCTGAGGAGAGCTGATTTTCCAAACATTTTACACACCCACAAGACGAAATACTTCCTTTCATTCTGACGTAAAGATAGCATAAAGAATAATTAAAATCAATTTCGCTAAGACATTGTAAACACCTGGATTATCTTTTTGCTACTATTTTGTCGTCCCCGACTCCTGAAAGTGGTCTTAAAGATACGTTTCAGATGGACGTCAGACAATTAAAATAGCTTTTATCGGTCTGTCATTTATCAAAGGGTCATCATGAAACCCACCTTATAGGTGCTTTATAAACTGATAAGATTGATTGATTGTATGTTGTCCCAATCGAGAATTTTTACACTCATAAAGAGACGTCAACATAACCAGTGACGTGCTTCAAATTTAGACCTACATTGGACACTCTGGGTCATTGGGTAGTAAGAGTTCTTTATCATGCCAACGCCTACCGTGACACGGGACCTCTGTTATTAAGATGAAAAAGGTGAAGATAAACAACAATGATCCATCTCAAAAAATCTAGTACACACAATACAAATCTGTGAACAGGGCTCAGACTTCGGGAAATTCTCATCCGAAAGATACCTGACCATCACTTTTAAAGCCGGACGCTTTCCCAAGGAACAGTCGCTACCTATGTTCACGTCTTAGGTTTGACGCGGCGCGACGAAAAACAATCGAACCTGTACCTCCCAATAAAACATGAATTATGTTTATTTGAAGTCATTGAATAATGCGGTCTGAAGAATTAAATTTTTTGAAAACGTTAACCTGGATTATATGCAACAAAGAAATAGCTTAATGCTTCGAAAAATGACATACGTTATGACATAAAGAATAAAACGGCTCAATGACCTTGTTCTATATTTATTTTTTTTACTTAAAAACTTTTGAAACAACGCTTTTTATGCCAAATTAGCTGAAAATTGACCGAAAGAAGTCTTGAAACAAACTTCTCTAAGTTAGTTAATTCATCTTTAAGTCGTCTTAAAGATAACGCTTAAAGACATTTTTTCTCTAATGGGGTTAATATGCAGCAAATAAGACCTCTTTAAAATTTGATGGTGATGAAGTTTTAGTAGCCTCTTATAGACGTTAAAATCATAAAGTGTAAGAGCATATTATCTGAAAGGCTTGAACGAAGATCGGGACACATGACATTTGATACGCCAAAGACTTTCTTGATGTCAATACTTAAATGTTATAAAACCATTAGTATTTGTGTAATTTTTGTACAGTTTGTTATGATTCAATATATATATATATATATATATATATATATATATATATATATATATATATATATATATATATATATATATATATATATATATATATATATATATTCAATATATAGAAATTAGAAAGTTTTAATGTTCAAGTAATTTTAAAAATGTAAAATAAATTGATCATCTCCTTTATTTCCCTACACTGTCTGGTCACGTTCTGTGTGCAGTAAGATTGATTGATTGATTGTTTGTTGTTTTACGTCCCGTTCGAGAATTTTTCACTCATATAGAGATGTCACCATATCCCGGTGAAGGGCTTCAAATTTAGACCTTTACTGGGCACTCAAGGCCATTGAGCAGTGAGGTTTCTTTATCGTGCCAACGCCTACCGTGACACGGGGCCTCGGCTTATGAGTTCTCATCAGAAGGACCCGCAACTTTCACTTCAAAGTGCCGAGCGCTTGGCGAAGGAACAGTTGCTATGAAATACGTGGAGATGACGAACAGTATTCGAGCTCAAAAGTCCATTAAACATTACAAAATAGGAGCAGAGCAAACACGGTGCTACCTATTTTTTATCGACGTAGGTCAGTCACGGTCGTGATTCGAACACACGACCTTCCGATCACGGAGCGAACGCTCTACAGACTGAGCTACCGTCACGGTATGTGAGTAAGATCAAGAGTACAATAAAAGCAGGTTACACTGAGTCGCACCATGGTGGGGAATTTGTGAACCAGAAACCCAATAATATCTTTTATGTGACTGGTAACAGAGATTATGTGTATTGATATCTTAATTTGCTTGTTAAGTTTTCGTGTGGTTTTATAGTTATTTTCCCGTACTCGGAAAAATTTGTATCACGCTATGTTCTATTCAACGATATCCTATTCAATATTGAGATAAGCTTGTTACAGTTAATTAATGAAATGTAGGATTTTAGTTCAATCTTAAATTTTAAATTTTTGATTTACAGATTTCTTTCCAAAATTCGTTTTGTTTTTGTCGTTTAAGTTGTCTTGAAAAGTGCTTAATTTATCTTATCTATATGCAGTGTGTAATCAAAAACTTGCTTTAAATTTTTCCAGCTCTATTCATATTCTAAAATATTTGAAGAAGGGCATTTCCTCAAACATATTTTAATTTATGCTTCAGAAGTCCCATTATGAATAGAATAATGGGTCCGTAAACATGACTGATTGAATGTTGTTTTACGTCCCGTTCGAGAATTTTTCACTCATATAGAGACGTCACCATATACAGATGAAGGGCTTCAAATTTAGACCTTTACTCGGCACTCAGGGCCATTGAGCAGTGAGGGTTCTTTTTGGGCCAGCGACTACCGTGAGTGACACGGGACCTCGTTTTTTAAGGACTCATCCAAAAGATCCGCAACTGCAAAGTGCCGAGCGCTTGATGAAGGAACAGTTGTTACCTATTTTTTTATCAACTTAGGTGAGTCGCGGCCGTGATTCGAACACACGACCTTCCGAACACGCCGTAAACATGAAGAATCAAAACTACATACAGACACTGATCGGTGCAATATTTTTCTAGCGACATCCTTTAAATAAACCAAGAAATAGGATGATAAACACTACGTTAAGATATGTTAGACAACAATAAATAGATAATATACAAAAAAGTTTAACTAGACTTTTCAACTCAAGGTCTTGTTCCTCCTTAAACAAGTAATTGAGTTTAATTCTCCTAACGTACGTGATACGATACTCACTAGTTGTCTTCCATGTGGTAGAAACATCCGTATCCATCTTTAGTCATTGCACCCACTCCTCCAAACACTGGGGTGTACCCTATAAAGCTAGTGAACAACTCAAAATTTCCTCCCCCACCACTGAAAAAAATATGTTCAACAATTAATAGATACTGGTGCATATTCAAGAGGTAACTTGACATCATAATAATTCAATCCAAATTCCTTTGAACAGGACAACTTTACTTAGCATTGTTCCTTTTCTCTAAGAAACTAGAAAAAAATTAATGAATAAAGGCTGAATTTTATTGAAATTTAATTAGAAATCTTGCTTTACTATTGTAATCTGAAGTATAGGTTCTATTCTGAGTCTGACTTGCCTTTTTGTAAATGATTTATCTTGGAACAGCAATGGCCTTTGAATGCCTAGTTCATCAGCTATTGTCGCTAAACCAAGCAAATGTCTGTCACATCCTACAAATATACATATCAAAATCCTTTTAATCATCAGCAAGAGGAAAAAATAATTCATAAAATTCATTGAATAGTTTGTTGTTTTTTTGGAAAGTACCCCCCCCCCCGTTTTGTTTGTTTGTTTGTATGTTGTTTAATGTCCCTCTCGAGAATTTTTCACTCATATGGAGACGCCACAACTTGCCGGTGGAGATCTGCAAATTTTGTCCTATACTCGGCACTTACGGCCATTGAGCAGTGAGGGATCTTTTTCGTGCCAGCACCTACTGCGACAAGGGACCTGGGTTTATACGGTCTCATCCGAAGGACCGGTCTCCAAGTCCCACAGTGGGATTCGAACCCGCGAAGTAAGGATCAACTCCTTACTTCTCGACTCTAGAGCAGACGCTCTAACCACTGCGCCACACGGGCGACCCCCCCCCCCCGGTAAAAAAAAAGAAAATTAAACATTTGCGATATTTTATAATTTTTCAGTATACATGTACTATCAAGAATGTTTTCATTGATAAAATATTACAATGCATTAAAGTTTGAAATTCAAATAATACGTTTGGAGTTCTTCACTTATTTGCAGTATACTGTCAAAATTTCAAGAACTGTTTCACTGCAATATTAAAATGTACATGTATAAGAGCTTGATTGCGCAAAGAAATTATCTCCTCATTGTAACATATTAAGTGACAGTTATACCTCTTAATTTTTTTGCTTCCTCCATTAACTTATTGTGTTTGTTTGCTGCCTTTATATATGCAAATTTCTGCTCTTGAATCTGAAACAACAATAATAATAATGCTCACTGTCTTACTCATTGTGATTAAGTATTTAGATTAACTATTTCTAATTCATGTGGATGTTTTATGGATTTTTTTTTTAATCCATAGATTTTGAGAACAATTTTTCATGTATTTTTTTTTTGTCATTGAACAATCTCTTTAAAGACAAAAATCCCATACTATAGCTGTACATAACAAGAATCACTCAGAATTTCCAAGTATATATATATATATATATATATATATATATATATATATATATATATATATATATATATATATATATATATATATATTAAACTGCAAAGACTGAAGCTCCCACAGATGTCCCCAACTATACTACACAAGTTTTTTCTGGTAATAAGCCAGAAAATACATGTGTCCTATTTCCCTGGATCACAAAGGCATATCCCGCGAATTCAGTTCAGATGCAGCTTATGCAACATGCATATGACTGAATATTTATTAATTAGATATATTTTGCAATAGATTTGAAATATCAAAAGTATGTGCTGGGACATCTATAAATTCATAATATATGGCAGCACAGTTTTGAAAACTGTAAACATTTAAGCAGTTGAACTAAGTTTTGTGTTTCTATACATTCAGAGGAATGGTCATAAATACAGAACAAACAGACAGACATGCTTTCAGCAACTTTGTAGGATATATGATGATAGATTAATATGTACCAAAGTTGAATGCAGTTGATGACACTGCATTTGTAATTTAATTGCAATTTGTAATCTGCAGTAGAGAGTAATAAAATCTCAATCAGGAAAACCAACCTGCAAATTGTTTTCAATTTAATCTCATCAAGAAAATGACTGCATGACAATTTTGCATAGTCTGTTTAGAGCATCAATAAATATTCAAGAAATTGTTTTCTCTGTTCTGAGATAAAGTGTAAGATATTGTCCTATCCCTCTTATGTATGTAGGCATCATCAGTATAAGAGTAGTGTGAACAATGTCTTTAAAAAATTCCCCCGTGCATAGGGGATGAGAATTGTAGACTGCACCATCAGGAGTACCAGTTCATTAATATTGTAGGTTTACTCTCTGCCATGTCTGGTATCCATTTTTGAGTTAAGTGGATTGATACGATGTAAATAAAGCACCTTGACCAGAAGGAGCATTTGACAACCAGTCTTACTCTTATGACAACTTTGAGGCAGACACCTAAACCAGGTCTAGCTTGTTATCAAGGTAGTCAAATCTTACCGAAGCGTTAGCACTACACATCACTCTACAGAACTCTACTGCTTCCATAGTGCATGATCTTAAGGTTTCTGTTCGACCGTGGTAAAATCTTCTTGTGGTGGCAGGCTCATGTACAGGGGCTGGTCTGAATGAATATTTTTATTGTAGATACATGTATTAAATAATCGTGTCATTTATATACCAAGTCTATACATTTTTGTGAAAATTGTTCCCTTTTTTGGCCCCATCCTATACCATAGGCCCAGGCTCAGCCAAACTGGAATTTCTATAGTACATAGAGTTTACTTCACATTTATACAATAGATTTCGCAATGCAGTTATTGGGTCTTATAAAAAAAACTTTTCCTATATAAGTCTTTGCAAAACTTTGACAAAGTGTTACTCAGTGTATCATTTTGGCCTATGATTTGAACACAATATTCAGTAAGTAAGTAAGTTAATTTTCACTTTTTATTTAGATCCGTGGTTTTGAAAGATTTCTGAATTTCTCCTCACAATTTCTGAAGAGGAAATTATATAAAACATTAGTATACAGAGTATACAAAAGTATACAGACAACAAACAATATTCAGAAGAACAGGTAGACAGGCAGGTAAAATTCAATAACTGATTGCTAAGAAAAGCTAACTTTACCTGTTGACTCAAGTGAGCTAACAATTACAATTATATTAATGCAGGTTCCTATATATAATGTTCCCTTTGTTGCACTATGTTATTATTTACCAACACTGAATGTGCATGCATTAAATTCTGATTTCACCAATGGTCCATCCATGTTTAATGGTAGAATAACTTCACACTCAGTATTATTTACTTATCTTTAAAACTGTCTTACTTGTGGTGGGTTTTGTAGTAAGCATATTGCAGAGCCAGTTGTACGTGTGTGTCAGGGTGATATCTGCACCTCCGTAACTTTTTCTTGCCATATTTTGTATATTTAAAGATTGTACATGAGAGATTACCTGCCTACAAGAAAGTTCTCTGGGAGTGAGTTAACACTATTTATCAGTAGGAAAAGCAAAACTAAAAGAATCAGAATTGTAAAACATTTTTCTCGTTTATTCAAGTTTAGGTCTCATTATGACTGATTGATTAATTGATGTTGTTTTACGTCCCCATCGAGAGAATTGTTTTCCATAATACATCTGCTGTATTAAAAAATTCCATTATTCTACATCATACATTGTGTATATTTTTTTCTTCTGTTTCCCTTGTCATGATAATTATTTTACCTTCTACCATTCTCAATCTTATTTAATTCCATTACTAAGAATTCATTATTCGTTGTGTAGGACTACGTGTTTCGCAGCGGAAAGAGTCAAATACATATACTGAACATTTTTTAACTAAAAACCAAAAAAAACCCCTGAAATATATCTTTAGATAGAGCTAAAAATGTGTATTTTAAGATGATTAAAAAGAAAAATACAAGAAACTTCATAACTCGGTTTGCTTACATTGGCTAAAAAGAATTTCTCAGCAGCAAGAATGGCCTCCATAACGACACTGTCAACATGGAATTTTAATTCTGTTGGTTTTGCCAGGTTTCTTATTTCCATAGAACCCTGCAAAAACAGTAAAAGTTTCAAGCAGAAATATCACTTTATTAAGACAAATGCTATGCAACAGTGTTTGGAACAAATTTAAAAAAAAAATTAGCACTAGTTATTTTACATCTTCATTAATATTCCAGTTGTTACCATTCATCTAAATCATTTACCTGCCATTTGCCCTTTGACCTTTTAATATTAATATCAATATAGTAGAAACCTGTCACCATTACCATTCCGTCAAAAGGAGCATGCTAAAAGAAATGCCAAGAACAATACACTCAAAAACATTTATCTGAGGAAATTATTAAGCAATGCAAGTACATGATATCAATGTAACAAAAATCTAAGAGCATAAAGGGGTTGGGGATGGGGTGTAGAATTACCGTACATCACAAATACAAGCACATATTCCATTTTTATAGAAAACATGGTTGACACATTTGTCAAACCATCTGTCTCTGGGATTTGCTCCTCCACCTGTGTAGGTAAATGCCTGAAAGGAAAAAAAAGGATTTTTTTTAAATATAAATGAAGGCCAGTAAAACTTGTATGATCCAGTCTTGCCTATTGCGATGCAATCTATAAGTCCCTTTCAGTAATTATTTATTCTTATTTGGACAATTTCCTTAGAACCAGTGATGTCTGGATTAGACAATTATATAGATCTATTCATTGATAAACTGCATTATCTCTATAAAAAATCTAAAAAGAATAGTTATATTGGAACATAATGATATATAATATACAAAACACTTAAAAATGTCCTAACAAGTGACATAAAACAATATTAACTTTCCTCAGGGTTCATTTAGATTTAACCATTTTTTCATATACATGTATATATCATATTTATGTATATTCACACACTCTGTCTCTCTCTCTTTCTCTCTGTTTTCATAACTATATACAAAATATTTTCATTAAATGGCAAATAGGATGAATATTTCTCTCATTATAGATTCCGTCTAGTACATTACATTATATAAATAGTAGACCTTAGAGAATATATTATATAGACTTGCCTCAGAATTATCTTTTGGCTCAAAATCATCAAGTGTAATAGTAAATATACTTGTTTCAATTTTCTTTAGGTTGTAAAAGTTCTCCGGATGCAAAGCACTTAGTCGACGTCTGACCTGTAAAACTGACAAGTTTTAATAGACGTGTTGCCAAACTTGTAGAATCTGTTTCTTGATACACAATTGATACAATCAATATGACAAAAAATACTTGTACTTGAATGTCAATAGAATAATCATTATCACGTATAAGCCAAAATAAGCAAGGTGTTTCTAAGCAGAGAACTTACAAAGAAAGTTTATAACATAACTTGTTTTAATAAGTGAATTCTCATGAATACGAAAATCCTCAGATTTCTGTATTTCTACCATGAATTGGAAACGGTAAAGTTGACCTTAAAACGTCAAATAAGTATGTATCTTTATGGTGTTGTCTGTATGGTGATATTATTTTATCACATTTTTGTATATAAATGTAAGAGAACACATAATAAATAGCTAAAGTAACAAAAAATATCATCCAGACATTTGCTATGAGTGAATTCTCTCTACCACATTGTTATAAATAATGTGATTTAAAAACCAAATATTTTTGAATATTTAAATGTTTGCTTACTAGGTATAATTACCTGCATTTAAAATGTTTAAGAAATGTTATAAAGGTTTAGGATGTTCTAAATGATCTAGATTATGAATTGTTGAACAGAATATACTTACTCATCAGGTTATTTGCCAGATAAATACCCAAAACATTACAAATCTTATGTTTAAGAAACTTGCATGCACAGATGCACCCATAACCCCAATGGATATTTATTGATCGGATCACAATCTATAGATTTATCATTAACAACAATAAGAATGTGTTCTATTGCATGAATCTATGTAAAATATATGGACAGTCTTAAAAAATGAATCAGTCTAGCATGTGAAGATGAACAATGTTTTTTTTTTCAATCTGGAATTTTGTTAGCAATTCATCCACAGTATTTCTTCATACCTCTGCCCATTTCTTTCTCGTTTCCCCTGTAAGAGCCCCAAGCCCGATACCCGGGGGTTCCCTCTCACACAGGTCTTTGATTAAGGTCAGTTGATGCTGTATCTCGGGGGGTCTCAGGGGTTCCTCGTTCTCATCCACGATATCGAAACAGAAAAACCGCCCCTTGTATAACACCACAGCATGAAGGGGTGTTGGTCCCTCTGATTCTGTTGACAAAATATTACATCAGGGACGTAGACACATCCCTCACAGGATAAAACTCTGTCATTCAGTTAACTGAAAAGGTGACTGAATGGCAGAGCTCTGTTATTTAGTCACATTTCATGACTTTTCAGTGACATTTCAGTTGACTGAAAGGTGCAGTTTAATCCTGTGCTTGCATATATTCTCAAGAATAAATACACCTGTTGGTTGTATAATTTACATGCACATTGATAATAAAAAATTACATGAATTACAATTAATTTATTGCACAATGATATAAACTAAAAAATATGTATACATAGATAAAGCTTTATATAATGTGGAGTATCCCCATTTAGCAATTGCATCAGAATGTAGCACATTTTAGCAAAGAAGACCATGAATAGTCTTTCCAAATACAGCCAAATCTTCCCATTTCTCTTTGACAGAATGGGCATGATATTAGCTCAAATGAAATACTTTACCTGTCTTAAAGTGAGAGATTAGTTGATCCCTAAAGATCCCTGGTATCCTACAGGTGGAGAATGCCCTCCTAAACTGGTTCATACAGAGTTTTCTCCCTTTATTGTCTACTTCGGCTTTCAATTTCTCCCTGTGAAATACAAAGTTTATTCACTTTTTTAAAATTTACATACTGTAGAAGCACAAATTTTCCTGGGGATAAAATTTCGTTGATTTGCCACCTAAATAGGTTTCGCTGCGTTAAATTTCATTGTTTCGAAAGTAATCCTATTCAATAGATATTCATATTAAACTTTCGTGTGAAGTTTAATATCGTCGACAATAGATAACAAGGAAAAACATGAAATTACCCCCCCCCCCGAATATTTCTGCTTTTACAGTATGCGTTTACTTATCAAGTGGATCTTACTTAAGGAATGACTGTTAAGTTATGTATATGTTATTGATGTGTATCACACAAACGTCTCTCGTAAACATATTTCATGACGCGCAACAGCACAAAAGTCTAAGTTCTTCTTTGTATATTGATACTCAGTACGCACTGATACGCGAGAGTATACGTGAAAATGGTATTCATATAGAATAGTAAACCTTCAGTTTTCATGAGATTGCATGTTCACTAATTTTTTTTTTAAATACTATCCCATAATCAATTTTAATGAAGCAGTTGCAATAAAATTCTATTCTACATAAACAAGTTGCAATCTTGCAAAATGACGAGGGAGAATAGAGCAGTTAACATAATTAATATAAATTCATAAAACAAAAGCCATGAATCTCTCTCTCTCTCTCTCTCTCTCTCTCTGTTCGACCCCAGTCAAAATTCTTGAAAACGACACTATTGTCAACAAAAAGACCAAATATCCGCTGCACATACACGTATAGTCACTGATGTTATTTCGTACAAGAATGTAAGGTACGTTTTGTCGCCCCTTCTGAAGGAAGAAAAAAGGCTCGTGTTGGCACGTGTTGTCGCCAGTGTCCATATGTACCAACGGACGACAATATGTGCCGTGATGGTTAGATACATATTGTCGCCAGTGTCGATATGTACCAACGGACGACAATATGTGCCGTGATGGTAGATACATATTGTCGCCAGTGTCCATATGTACCAACGGACGACAATATGTGCCGTGATGGTAGATACATATTGTCGCCAGTGTCCATATGTACCAACGGACGACAATATGTGCCGTGATGGTAGATACATATTGTCGCCAGTGTCGATATGTACCAATGGACGATAATATGTGCCGTGATGGTTAGATACATATTGTCGCCAGTGTCCATATGTACCAACGGACGACAATATGTGCCGTGGTGGTAGATACATATTGTCGCCAGTGTCCATATGTACCAACGGACGACAATATGTGCCGTGATGGTTAGATACATATTGTCGCCAGTGTCCATATGTACCAACGGACGACAATATGTGCCGTGATGGTTAGATTCATATTGTCGCCAGTGTCGATATGTATACCGACGGACGACAATATGTGCCGTGATGGTAGATACATATTGTCGCTTAGTACAGCTGTAGTTTCAGGGAAGTTGAAAATGTTCCAAAGTTTATGGAAGATAAACGATAAATGGCGGACGACGACGAACAATCATTGATAGCATTGCCAGGAGAGTGCTTAACATTGGATGACTTAATTTTGGTGCAGAGCCTTTATGATAAATCATTAAGCATACATGTATTATTAAATTTTCTGGAAGCTGATTTACACTGGAATTTGTTACCTGCATTTAAACAAATACAGTTTGCAGAAGAAAGAATCATATTACTGATGCAAAATAATGTTGTGTTTAATTCCTTCAGTTTTTTGCATACACATTTTATTCTTTGCGATTCTTTGTACGGGCATGTCCGTGTAACATTTTTTCTGCGTTTCTAAACTACTGAATCAGTCCATTTGCCTTCTACAAAAGGGGTGACACAATCATTTCGCGCCAAATGTCATATGTAAATTATCTTCGCGCCTTTTTCTTGGCTTGTTCTATTGAATGGGTGCACGATAACTTCTATGGAAATAAATAACGTTTATTTCTTTTAACCTGATTCTTAGGCTTTTTATTTTTATTAACAGTAAATTTTATCTCATTTTTAAAAGAACACATTATATATGGGCAAGCAACACTAAAGCAATGGATTTGCTGATTATTCTTACTATTTATCCCATAAGTGAACTATTCCAATCATAAACAAACTCCCTCGACCTATTAAATGGGACATCCCTTCTTGATTCAGTCTGTTTCCAACTTTTTCTTTCAATATTACATGTATTAATAATGTACGTTACAAGGTTAGGTTTTTAAAAAAGCTTAGAAAGTCAGCCAGTAGCATATTATTTCATGCTTTGTGATGAACAAGGATAGTGACAAGAGTAGGTCAGTACCCATAGAGGAATGGGCTTAACTCCCATAAGGTTCTAAGCAAAGAATCGGCAAAATGAAGAAGACATCATGATCTGTACTAGTTTTCATTTCATATAAAAGCACGTTATTATAATTATGAGAAAGGTCCTGAAATCGATTGAAAAGAAAAAACTAAACAATTTTAAAACTGCACATAAAGATGTATTTTTAAACTCATTTATAATACTTGTACATGTATATGGTAAGACCATCAGCGCGTGAGTTTCGTCCGCGAGGAGGGGGGGGGGTCTTGTTGGTATCTTGTTTTGCTCTAGCTATAAAGTGTACAGTCCATTTACTTTGAGTTCTAGAGCAGCATTGAAGCATTTTTGCTTCAAACACTTCAAGAAAAGGCAGTTAAAACTGTTCATAATTTACTTCGACGTCGAGAACGACGGAAAAAGACCAGTCTATAAAAAGAGGCCATCTCATCAATCTATCACTGACCAGAAAAGCGCGCCCTCTAGTAACAGAGTACATGTAATATGAATTTCTTTAGAATCATTTATATAACTATTTTTCCCAAAATTATAATCTACGCTATCGCACTTTGAGTTTCATCCCAACGTAACTTGTCAGCCCGTGGGCTAACCCGTATATACTCGCCTATAAGTCGGTTGTATTTTTTTGAGGTTATTTTGAAGGGATTTGCATTTGACCCGCTTATAAGTCGGTACAATTTTTTGCCAGAATCAGTTGACAATTTCAAATCAATGCTCTAATGTTTTAACCTTTTTTCGATTTATATTTTTAGAAATGACTCCGATATTTAAATTTAAATCATTAAGAAAAGTACATAATGCACAGATCAAAATAAATTTATTAAAATATTAAAATACCTATACTTTATGTATAATCTTAGAATACATAAATTATACAATACATCTAGACTTTGTTCAACGATAATCATTGGAAATGTTTATAAAATACTACATTTCGACGTCCAGAAAAGTACTGATCTTTTTATTACTCGCCTATAGGTCGGACATAGAGTTTTGGATCAAAATTTACCTCCCAAAAAAACGACTTATAGGCGAGTATATACGGTAATATATGATTGAATGGTGCATGGCATGTCTTAGATATTCGTTAATCTGTAGTATTTGGTTATGAGATTTGAGAAAGTCAATTGTACATCTTGTGTAATGAAGTAATGCAACTATGTCGCTCCTTGATGACGGAAACGTTTAGCACCTCTATTGCTTATACGTTCCATAGATATTGATTGATTAGTCAGGCAAGCTTTTTGAAAAGCTATTACTTGTCATGTTTAAATCCGTCCAATTGAGTTACCTTCTAATGAACTGCCAGAATTTGGTGTCGTAGTGTAACAAAATTCCCGCCCTTTCTAGTTGAGTCCCTGTCTTTGGGGTCCAGTAATGATGGTAATAGGGGCCTAAACCAATTAGGTTCATGAAGGGGGCTAAAGGGATATCTGATTCTAGATATCTCTTCTCTTCCCACAATTTCTCTAACTGTGATAAAAGAAGAAAATAATAGGTATGAATTTCTTTCGAATTGTTTCAAGAAATAATGTAAACTTATGCGTGAGCTTATTTTGATTTGTTGAAAATTAAGTACAAAGTGAATCGAAGACTACTTTGTGCAATCTTGGTTTAGCACTGTCAAAATGTTTGGATAATACAAAAAAAAACATAATTTGTTAGTCGTCAAGATTTAGAGTATTAACAATTACGCTAAAGATATAAAAAAAACCATTAAGCTAAAAAAAACCATCATAATATACAGTAATGTAAATTTCAAATTCATGTTGAAATGAATTTGATCAGACAATTTTTCTATTAATTCTTCTAACTACTATTTATTCACAATACACTGCGGCTTGGTCATTATTTGCCACGTTGAAAGGAAATTCATAATAAATATTGATGCATACCTACGCAGTTTCTTTTATTCCAAGCTTTATGCTGCACACTTACCCAGTTTCTTTCATTTCTAGCTTTATGCTGCACACTTACCCAGTTTCTTTCATTTCTAGCTTTTTCCGCTAGTTTTTTGTGCAGCTCCTTTCCAACACCTGAGGCGAACTGCTGAACAATGAATTCTGTTTGTCTATACTCCTCATCTGTGACATGTGGTTTAACTAAAATGGAAATAAACTATTACATATATCCATTTTAAGCTCTATTGGATGACCACTGGCCTATCTTCTAAATTCGTTATAATTATTATTTTTTTTTTTTTTGGAGTAACATATTTTAGTATCTTCAGAGCAAAAGAGAGTTTGTAAAGCAATGCCTATTTTCTATTGATGCTGCCAGGAAACAATACCAATTGAAACTCAATCTAAAGTAATTCAAAGGAATTTTCGAATGAACTCACCTGACTCTAGATATCTCAGTAGTCTGTAATGGATCGAGATCTGTAAACAGTAACTCACATGACTCCAGATATCACTGTAGTATATGATTGAGATCTGTAACCAGTAACTCACCTGACTCCAGATATCTCTGTAGTGTGTGATGTAGATCTGTAACCAGTAACTCACCTGACTCCAGATATCTCTGCAGTGTATGATGGAGATCTGTAACCAGTAACCCACCTGACTCCAGATATCTCTGTAGTGATTGACTGAGATCTGTAACCATTAACTCACCTGACTCCAGATATCTCTGTAGTGTGTGATGGAGATCTGTAATCAGTAACTCACCTGACTCCAGATATCTCTGTAGTGTTTGATGGAGATATGTAACCAGTAACTCACCCGACTCCAGATATAACTGTAGTGTGTGATGGAGATCTGTAACCAGTAACTCACCTGACTCCAGATATCTCTGTAGTGTGTGATGGAGATCTGGTAAGGGAAGAGAGGGTAGCTCTGACTCAGAACCAAATGTCTTTTCATCCTCTGAGGAAAACAGCAGGTCGGGGTCTGGGATGTTTTGGTCATCCATGATAGAATCTTAACTGCAATTACAATAAATACTAAAAAAAATGACAAACTGTACGACTTGCTAAGTGAATGACGGTAACATTACGTACTTTCGCTTTCCGGTATATTAACAATTAACATAGTTATACACAAAAGTCAATTTCATTACATTGAGTCGCGTTTGTTTTCGTAAAAAGGTGATTCTTTGTTTTAAAATTTACATACATACCCAGTTCATAGATTAAACTACACAAAGTCCTAGTTTTTCTAAACCTAAACTCAAAGTCCTTGTTTACGAACCCGTACTTTCAATTTATGAAACGAAAGTCAAAGTTAGTTTCTTTTCGAAAATAAAGCAGATACAATAATAAAACAGAAATAGGGTAATTAAGCTGGATGATTTTTTTTTTCCTTTTTCAAAGGACAATGTTCCTTTTGGAAATTACTATTCTTAGTAACGATAACCGATAGAAAAAGTATGTTATGTTTGCTGTGTAGACCTGCAGCATGTCTGCTGCAAGTTTGCAGCAAACAAATATTCGCAGGAAGAAAATTCTCTTGTTCGCAGATGATTGCCGCTAGCTGCGATCTTGCGGCAAACATTGCAGCAATTGCCGTAGGTTTGCAGCAAATTCGCAGGAACTCAAAATTTTTGCATGAACAATTCAAGAAACATACACGCCAATCTGTTGTTTGCAGCAAGTTCGCAGGAAACATTTAACAAAATGAATGTTTGCAGGAGGGTGAATTAAAAAAAATGACCACCAAACTGATTTTTTTTTTGGCAAAATTCAACTACTTATAACATATTTTTCACTTATATGATCATATTGCAAATGCATTCTAGTTTAAAATCCTGAAGTGGCAATAGAATAGACAATTGGATTAAAAAGTTTCAGAATTTTTATGTGTAAAATTTCTTTTGAAAAAATAAAATATCATTACACCTTAAAAGACTTTCTAAAATACATAATCACAAGAAATTATAGTTTTTTATGCTTCAAAATGGTAAAAGGGGTATAAATGATTAAATCTAGACCTTGAATGAGTATCTTCTCTTGTACATGTGACAAAAAATTGGCTTTTTGATTGTTATTTTACCTTATTTTTTCAATTCTGGTTTGAAAAGTTTTAATATGAAAAAAAATATGAAGCAATAAAATTTCCCAAAATTCACTTTTTTGTCCGTTCAAGTCAATTCTTTAAATCTAAGCCAAAAAAGAATTGTTATATACGAGTTCTCTTACAAAAAATACTAGATTTTGAAGTGACCCTATGTTACATTATTGTGTTGCACTCCTGACATCTGATATGTATTTTATTTAACATTGTTTTAAAAATTATAACACACAATAACCCATTCTTACTTTGTAAATCAATTTGTCGTGTTGATATTTTTCATCGTTTACAGCAGGTTTTTCATATTTTGAAGACCTTAAAACATGATTATTTGCAAAGCGTTATATATATAAATTTTATTTAAAATATATGTGAAATGATGAAAACTATTCCCTGAATTGACTGTAAAATTTCTGTAATTTGTTGATAGACATAGTGTTTTGAACATCAAATAGTATCAAGCATTTTTTTTCAACTTATTTTTTAGTAAAGCTAGTTAAAAAGCATCGGTAATTATGAAGCAGTTTTGTTGCACTCCTGACTGCAGTAAAGTTTAAAATTAAAACCATAGAACACAAAAATTCATAAAGTGTTGGCAACATCAAGTGGTAATGAAATTGTGCAATACTTATAGTCCAATACTTCATAATTAAAACAGATGAAAGTATTTAAAATTCGCATTTTATCTGGAATTATACCCTATTTTATGCCAAAAACACTAGCTTAAATGTATATTTAGAAGATAAAATATATTTTATAGCATAGTTTCCTTTAGAGGACAAACACAGTAACCTACCAGAAAAAATTCTACTCATCATTTTCTATTCATTTTTATTCTTAGTGGATGATTTATAATTCTAACATATTTGTTGCACTCCTGACCAAAAGCATTGGGGCCTTTAAAGTAGAATTGTGAAGTGAAAATTACAAAAGAACTTGTTCTGTTGTTTCAGTGAAGTTGAGGAGGAATTACTTGAATTTAATGACAATGTTTTAGTGTGTTTATTTTTAACGTTCATTAAAAAAATCACAAAAAAGATAAAAACACACCTGAATTGATAAAATTGAAAAAGGAAGAATTTTAATAATAAAACTATCAATAATTTAGCATTAAATTATACAAAAAGATCATTATTAATTAATTAATACCTCTAAGCATGAATAGAAGTCTTTTCGACACACAACTTGAATCTTTAAAAAAATGTGTTGCACTCCTGACCATAGAAATATGGATCTGAAGCACAGACAGATCCTGTAATTGATAAATCTATTTGGTAAAAATGTTCTTTGTGTCTTTATTTTCCAAAATAAAAATCAGAAAATCATATAATGATAATAGTTTTTTCATGCTTGGGAGCAAAACATCAAATGTTGCACTCCTGACATTTTTGGGTATGCACATATACTTGACTCTCATTAATGCTTCTTGTGATTTACATAACATTTTTAAGTTTTAAAATGTATATTAGTTATTATTTTACACTTCCAAAATTCTTTTTTGTCTTAATTTTCTATCAGAATTTTACAATTAATGTTTTTTTGGCAACACTACATTTTTTCTGTTGCACTCCTGACATGGTATAACATTTTTTTAAACATCAGTCATGACCACAACTTGATTAAACAAAAGTTATGACAGTCCACATTTAAAGCTCAATACTTTGAATATTATCAGGAAAGTCTTTATTTTCAACATGAAGCATTGTTTTTTATTTCATAGATCTTCAAAAAATATTGAAATTTCAAAATGTCACAAAAAGGTGTTGCACTCCTGACAATTTTAGCATCATTTTTGGGCATAACTTTTTTGTTAATTGAGATATCAACGAGATATTTGGCAGGTATTTAGACACTATCTAAAGACATATGCTGAGACATAGAAATCTATTTTTATTGCCTGTATTTTTAGTGTGGGTTGATAAATATGCGTTTGGTCATTTTTTTTGAATTTACCCAGGAATGAAATGCAGATTGTACTGGGGTCAAGACAGAATTCGCCATTTTGAAATGTTTGAATAGAAGTTCTAGATGTTTCAGTATTCTGTAAGAAATATATACTATTTTGAATGATTACAAAAGCATAATTCTGGATGTAGGAGTACACTGGCATACACAACATGTAATTGATAAGATCTGATTTTGTTTTATTATAATATGAAACAATTGTCTCTTTAAAGCATGTTTAAGTAACATATGTACTTGCTTGGTCAAATCTTAATTTATTTATGAATTTTAATCTTTATTTTAAGATCACATTTGTATATTCCTTTAATGTATTAAAGGTTCCAAGTCAATTATCATAAATGTTTATATGTTTTCAAATAAATCGGTATTATTGCAGCAAGGTTTCCATATTTGGAAATCCAATGTTTGCTGCTGACTTGCAGCAAACCTCATTTGCATGGTAAAATGTTTGCTGCAAGCTTGCTGTACACTTGCCGCAAACTTGCTGCAATCACAAAGGCTTTGTATAGGCTGTCATGATTTCTTTAGCTTCATTGCAGCAAGCTTGCAGTAATGTCTGCAGCAAGTTTGTAGCAATGTTTACTGCAGACTTGCAGCAAATGTTTGCAGGAAGGCAATATTTTTGGTAAGGGAAAATTATTTTAAATAAATGAATTATATACAATATATATTTTTTTAAGTTCGAAGCAGACTATTTTAACCCTATTGAATTAATCAGCAATAAGGTAACTTTAACAATACACCTAAAGGAGTAACTTCAAATCATGTTCTTTTGAAGTAGAAAATCATAATGAGAAAAAAACTTTACAGATATATAGACGACACAAAAGCTCTGAACATTTTCTAAGTATTATGAAATCAATTTAAAAAAAAAGTTTCATTTTCCAGTCTGAAATTTAGTCTATAAAATTCTTACAAAAATTGAATCGGCAACCATTCATTTGAGGAATTAAATACAAATGTATATACAATTTAATTTGACAAACGTACGTGGTAAGAGATCATTGGACAACGAATAAAAACTAGGTTATATACGTAATTTTATACCAAGAATAAAACTTTTTAGCTCTTGACTTTTAAGCTCTTCGGCTCTCTTATAGTTTTTCTCTTAATTTACCATTAAAATTTCGAACTTTTATATAATACTTTGAATTTGTATTTTAGGAGCACATTGGTCTAAGAGAATAAATGGTTGAGGTTATAAAGTAAAATGCGATCACAAAAAGGATTTCTTAAACTTTGAAAACGTACAAAATTTGTAGCGGTTTCATTTACCGATATCAAGGCCAAACGTCGAGATTGAATTCCTAAGCAGTTTTGAAAACCTAACTCTGATACATGTATGTCGATAGGACGTGAATAATCGAAGAAAGTTACGCACACCATAGCTACAAGTGGATAACTGAAGAATTGAGTTCAAAATCAAGGATCATAATGTCAATAACTGGTCAACTCCAACAACAGCTTTTATTAAGTTTCAAATTTATTTGTTTGTTGTTTAACGCCCCTCTCGAAAATTTTTCACTCATACGGAGACGCCACCACTTGCCGATGGAGGGCTGCAAAGTTTGACCTATACTCGGCGCTCAGGGCCATTGAGCAGTGAGGGATCTTTTTCGTGCAAACACCTACTGCGCCACGGGACTTCGGTTTATACGGCCTCATCCGAATGACCGGTCTCCACGTCCCACAATGGATTCGAACCCGCGATGTAAATATCAGCTCCTTACTCCGCGACTCTATAGCAGACGCTCTAACCACTGCGCCAGGCGGGCGACCACATTTATTTGTAAGGACGTTACTGTTGAATCAGATAAACACCCCTGGTAAATGGTAATGTATGCCTATTTTTTGTATAAGAACATCTGCTGGATCTATGGTTGAATATAAGAACATCTGTAAATATTATCCGTGGGTAAGGTAGATTGTAAGGTACGTTACGTATGACCTCAATATCGAAATCAGTATCAATTTTATACCATTATCAAAATTAAAATGAAACACAGAGAATTGAAACAAACTATACTTAAAGCAAGTTAAACAAAGGCAAATTAAATGTAGCATTATTAAAGCCAACAGATTATTTCTTGAAGGAAAAAAAAAACAAACGAAATTTATTATTAAGAATCTTTATTTTGGACTCTGTGATGCACTTAAGTAAAATCCTGCATTGATATGTGCACAATATATTGTAACTCAAATACATAGTA